ACGCTCCACCAACTGAGCTTTGAAACCTGACATGGTAGTCTGGCCAATTCCTTGGTGAGCGACCAACTTCACCTTATCTAGTCGTGAGTGGTGACCAAATTTTATCCATGGTTTCTGGCAATGTAACTACCAGTCTAGCAGGCACTTTGATGGATGTTAGTTAGTTGAAGGTTATTGGCAGGAAGCCGTGAACTAAGGTTTGGTGCTTATTGACTCTCGCCAGCAAGACGTATCTACAATATCAAGTCTAAACAAAACCTGTTACTCAATAACATCACTGATATCGCCAAATCGGTAGACTTCGAAATTGCATATTAGTAGAATAAAGACTGACTGATCGACTGACTAGCTGCCTGGTGAACATAAAGCCAATTTAACGCTACTCTCATTCTATTCCCCAGTTTCGTTTATCTTGTTAAAGATAGGCAGATAGAAAAAACAACGCAAAGTATCAAACAAATGTAAAGTAACTTTAGCTGTCCTACATGAAAACAGTGAATAAATAGGGGATGAATAGGAATAGAATGTTAACGAAATGAAAAAGATAAATGAAAGACCAAAGAGAACAAGTAAACTGAACTTAACAAAGTACTGAGAATTCTAAAGATGACAAACAGTCAAGTTTCGTATTCAAAACGTTTGCTGATATTTTATGCCATCCATTAGCTAACATGTTCAATAGACCGTTTTTAAAAAACACCATATCAGCTGTAAGGAAAGATATCAAGATAGTCCCCGTACCTAAGTCAGGGACTTCAGGAGCATGTCCGAAATTCCATTCGATTGCAGTTACCTCTCAGTTCTTGAAAATAATACAGAATCTAATAATATTTATGCCTGAACCCTCACTGAAGGGTTTCGGAGACCCTGATCAATTTGCATAGAGAAGCAGAAGAAGCACTTTGGATGCCACCTCTCTTGTATATCACAATACTGTTTATAATCTTGATAAAAGTGTCAAGTATAACAGGTGTGCCTTTTCAGACTGTACTTCAGCATTTGATTCTGTACCAAAACCTTTTTTGTTTGATAAGCTAACCGAGACTCATACTGAGTCCTGGATAATCAGCTGACTGCATTCCTACTTCTCTGATAGGAAACAACTCACTGTTCACAGAGGGGAGCGCTCCACCTTATTGCTTACTGTCACTGGAGTTCCACAAGGAACCATCCTTTCCCCATGTCTTTTCTCATTCTTTCTGTATGGCCTACCATCTTCAGCTGGCATCAATTTCATCAAATATGCTGATGACCTAACGGTTTCCATACCAAACTCCTCTTCCGCAGATTGCTTCCAACTGAATAATTTCTTATCTGTTGTTAGGTGATGGTCCTCCAAGAATGGTCTTATGCTTAATTCTTCAAAATGTCAGACCATAAACTTTAGTTTTAGACATGAACATAACTTATGTAAACTGATTAGTTCTCATGATTCCTGTTCTGCTGACAGTTGCGCATTAGAGAATGTTACAAGTGTGGTTTATCTTGGTGTATGTTTTTCGTCGGACGTCTCCTGGTACTCCCATATCTTACTAATTTCCAAAAAAATTTTCCGCCTAACTTTTTTTATCAGGAGGCTGAAAGTATCCAGAATAATTCAGCTTCTCCTCTTGCGTTTTATAAACTCCCGCATCCTACCTGTTCTCCTCTGTTGTTCTCCTTTATTTTCTCCCCGGTTACTAGAAAAAGACTACTCAATATTGCGTAGAACTTTGAAGATTGTCAGCAGAACTAGTGACGTACCCATAAACCTAATAGTTAAAACTGTTATGGACAAAAATATTAACTCATGTAAACATCTGGCAGGAGTTATTTTATCAGATGACCATCATCCTCTTCACTCAAATCTCTCTGCGTGCCAGTAATCTGGAAAGACGAGGAGCAAGTACATAAGACCCCATGCACGTACAACAAAACATAAAAATTTTACAATACCAGATTTAACCCGTTTGTTGTGTGATAAAGAAAGTATTAGAAATGAAGTAACTAATCAACTTCTGTTTTTGAAAGTAAACTAATTCATGATGAGCATGTTACTATTTACGTATTATGAATCTAACTGATAATGTGATTGTGTACGAAAATTAACTGTGTATTTTCAAGAAAGTTGTAGATAGAGTGAATATTCTTACCTTTCTTTTTATGTAATTTCTACTTATTTGCGTTGCCATACTACTACTACTACTACTACTACTACTACTACTATCAACACTTCTACTAATACTACTATCAACACTACTACTAATACTACTATTTTGTTGGGTTGAGACCCCTAAGATGAAAGTATACATGGTTGAAGACTTTTGATAATGACACTCGCAGGTGCGAAGGTAAGTACATTGCTCGTCATCTTCTTTGAATGCTGGTGTCTAGTGACGCAATTTGAAATCATAAACAACGGTGCATATTCTACGTTGTTTCTTCCGTGTTTCAACCTAGTCTTACTCTATGTGATTTTGTTTTTAAGTAGACATTAGATGAGAGTATTTAAAACAAGACTCAGCCACCGGATTCATTGCCGTTTCAAAATCTTATTAGATGATCTACCTTAGTTGTCCAAAACTATGCACCTATCCTAAACACTCTTGATTTGACAGTTTTACAACATGAGACTGATGCAGTCAAAGATCATCGGAAGGAAGGGAACATTAAATTGACTATCATGAGTGATTTTACGCTAATTCAGTGATTAGACATCTATAATACCATCTAGGTGATGTAAAAAACACTTTTAAGTTTCAGCTTAGAAAATCCCATTTCAATTTGGATGACATTTGAATGAAAAATGAAGTCTCTCCAACAACTTTTTCTTCAAATACTAAGGTTATATGTTCACATTGTTTCATTTTGCGCCAGTAATATTAAGATATCATCAAATGGTTTACCAATAACGCAATAAAAAAAGAGAATTCACTTCAGGAAAGTCGTGTGTAAAAGTTTATGATAGAAGCAGCCATTATTATTATTACTACTATTATTATCAGTCTCTTAAGTTCCTTGTAGATCAAAGTGTTTCAACCGGCACGTCACCATTTCATTCTCTTTCTTTCATTCTCTTTTCAACTTGTCTCCACCACTACCCACAACCTCACATTTCTTCCTCACACAATCTCCTACATGTGACCCTCGGATGCCAAACTCGTCGTTCCACATTTCACTTCCGATCAATGGCCCGGCATGGCGCCTGATGTCCCTAAACAGTCTTCTTAGTGTATCTTCAATCTGATCCAATCCATCGCCACTTTCTTCCACTGCATGTTTGTCGGGTGATAGGTTGTCGGTCAGTTAGTTCGTTGCCAGCCAGCCACAGTTCCTTGTTGCTCATTCTTAGTATTCTGACCACCTGATCTTCAGTGTCAGTGTCAGTGTCAGTATCGAGTGAGTGTAGGCACCAGCTGTTCAAGTGATGTATGTCCACAGTTTGTTGAAAATGTTTATCATAAGGCACCAAGTCTCCAAACCATCACATAGAAGCACTGACATGACTGACTTGGTGTTGAAAGTTTGGATGTTGTTCACGCTTTATGCTGAGTGGAGTGGAGTGGAGTGGAATGCAATGTAGTGCAGTGCAGTGCAGTGCAGTAGATCTCCACACTGATTTCAGATTAATGTAGGAAGGTCTGTCTTACTGTCTTTCCGATCGTGGCTTTGACATCCTCATCTGTGTTGCCGCGTACTGTTGAAACGGTGCTGCCATGTCTAGGTAGGTGAAACAGACAACTTACTTCAGGTTTCTCTCGTTAGTGGTGCTTGTTGTTGTTGCTGTTAGTTGGGTATCTTCATCAGTCAACTCTGTCTTTTCTACGTTCACCTGAAGGAAATCCCATCCTCCTACGTTGCCTTGCCTCACCTCTTCTGCCAACTTGTTAGTTTTTGTCTGTAGATCTTCCGATTTGTGCGACATTAGACATGAATCATCATCGGCGAAATCCATATCTTCTACTGGAGTATTTTCGTCGGTCAAATACCGCATACCCATCTTCGCTTTCCTCACAGTTTGTTACATGATCCAGTTCAGTCTACGATAATCGGGATGATCATCGGGAATCAGTCATTAGTGGTAATCAATCCAAAATGAGTCAATATCCAAACGATTATACAACCGATGTTACACTATAAAGCGGTAGTATAATTAAACAATGGGACGGTGCATATGAAAGTAGGATGCTAAAGAATTTATGAATCCTGAGATCGGATCAAGTTGTATGTAGAGACAAAACTCAGGTTGATCAATTCTGATTACCATTGCTTCTTCAGTCTGAAGAATACGGAGTCCTGTGACTTTTGGCATGTTGATGAGAACGTGGTGAATAATGGAAGATGACTCATTCATATTCAATATGTGATTCGTCTGAACTAAGTTGTGAATGATCTTTATCACACCTTGGCTTAACCATGTTTGGAGGTGGTTGTGGGCAGCCGTTAATCTTAGCATCGCTTCGAAATTGATCAGAATGACGAAAGGGTATTCACTCTGTATGGTGTTAAATCTACCTTTATTATCATTTTCTTCATTCTTCTTTCCAATTGATCTTCCTTATTCAGATGCAGTTATACTTCATTTTTTCAATAATTATAAAAAGCTGACGAATCGAAAATACAATGATATGAGTAGCTTAAATCTGACTATCAGCCATCTTCAACATCATAATCAAATACAAAAGTTAATGAGGGAAAGTGTCAATAGGATTTCTAACTTGCAGTCAGGGGTACATGAATTCAGTGACCAATGCAGGATTGAGTGAAACACAATTTTGAACCCGTCTCAAGACCAAACTAAAGTAACTCTGTCATTTTAATCACCCGTATTACTGAAATGTTTAGCCAATGAGCTTGTATAAGCCAACAATAACGACACAGTAACAGCAGTGGAACAGTAGCGTCATTATGCAAAACTCTACTAATTGATTTAACTAGCAGTGTATACACTATCAACTTATGAAATCGTATAAACACAAAGAAAGAAAGCTTGAATAATCGAACTATCAACAAAAACTTACCTGCTTTTTTCTTCTGTCTAATGATAGTGTTTGTGGTCTACTCCTACGACCTGGAATATATCTGCATGAGACAAATATAAAAATGGTATATAGAGTAAATCACATGTAAAATGATCAAATAATGAAGGGAAAATACCAGTCATCAGCCATCATGAAGAATCGTCTGATAGGATGAATTGGATGTGCTTTTAGTCATACCAATGTGTGTTAACAAGTCTACTTGCTCTTGTGGAGCTAGTTATTTCCCTAGATCAAACTGTGCACTCTTCCAACACATCTTAGAGTATCATCTCACACGACTATTAAAAGGTAAATGTGAATCTAAGAACACTTCAATACCCAAGAATCTAGTGATTCAAGTCAAGAAGCTCCATCAAAACCCTCTTTTGAAATAGTTGAGAATATTTGTAGCTCATGTGGATGGCCTTGGTTGTATTGGGTTCTCTGTGAAGCTTTCATCGTCTTGCTAGACAGTGACATCATTAGCGCTAACTTCAGCATGAAGTCAGCTGTCAATATCTCTCCACAAGTGATTTAGTAGCTTGCTCTGACCAACTGGTTTGTGATTGGTTGTTTCCTTTGATTGTTGTGTCATTGACTGACTGCATAGATTTTCCTGTTGACTGGTCCTCTGCTTGATCTCTCATCTTTCTATCGTTTATCATTTTTCTCATTGGTTGATAGATTGGGTCTGTGTCTATACATCTGTTGATTGGTGACTGACTGACTGAGCTGAATGCCAAGCATCTAGGAATTCTCTGATATTCTTTGTGATTCCTCTCTCAGTCCAAAATTTCTAAATTGTCAAAATTGAATTCATGTTCATCGTTTTTATCCACGTGCATTGAAATGAGTGATGAAATGTCATGTGTGACGTTTAGACACTTGGTGTTCATGTCGACGAAGGAGAAGAGGGCGACCACTTTGTCCATTATAGTGTTGATTTTAAAAATGATATTACGTTTGTCTTCTTCGGTTAGTGATGATGTCGTCTAGAACGTGTCTAGCATATAGCTGTTGAATGAGGTTGAAAAAGATTTGTGGCACTCCATAGTGTTGAAGCAGCTGCCGGCCAAATTACTTCTCGGTCAACGCTGTCAAAGGCCTTCTCAAAGTCGATGAAGTTGAGGTAGAGGGTTGACTGCCATTCTATACTCCGTTTTATGATGATGCGTAGAGTAGCGTTGCAATTTGATCCGTACATGATCTGTACTTCCTGAAACCAGCCTGTTCCGTGCATAATTTTGAATCCAGCGCATCCTTTAGTCTCTCCAGGATCATGTGGCTTAATATTTGCTTTGGGTGTACAGAAGCATGATTCCGCGCCAGTTGTTGTAAACACTTAAGTCGCCCCTCTTTGGGAGTTTGACAAGGTCGCCCTTCTTCCATTCTGCAGGCTACTTTCCCTCCTTCTACACCTTCTGCAGTAGTGGTGTGAACATGTCCGCTGTTGTCCCTGAGTCTGTTCTCAGTGCTTCTGGTGGGATTCCATCTGATACTGCTACTTTCCCAGCTTTCAACAACTTTACGGCGTTCAGGACTTCATTTCTGCTTTGTCGGAGGGCTTGTGTTCACTGTTAGTTCTGTGGCTGCCCTGCTGGTAGTATTTCTGGACGAGTTGCAGATAGTGGTGGTGGTCGATTCAAGAGTTTTTTGAAGTGGTCAGTCCGTTGTTTACTTTTCTTCTCCTCTTTGCTAAACAAGTTTCCTTCACTATCTTTCATCAGTTACATCTGTACTGTGTTGATCTCTTCCATCCCTAATAGTAACCTGGTTATTTGATATAGTGTTGTCAGGTGTCTGACTCTCTTATCTGCAGCCTATTCTGCTTCACTTGTCAGTGTGTCGTAGAAGTGTCTATTGTCTTTCCGTGCACTCTTCTTCACTTCTTTGCATAGTGTAGTGTTTTATACTTTGTACTCAGTTCCTCTTCTCGTTGTTCATCCTTGCACTGGTTCATCTTCTATTTCACCATCTCCCCCCCCCCCTCTTCTGTCAGCTTCCATGTACCGTAATATTGTCTCCAAACCTTTCAGTAGGTCTACACAAAATGAACTGGATTGTGTTCACGGTATCTATGTGTAATTATCGGAGGGTGAAACGTGCTGCTGGCTAGAAGAGGAATCCAGGTGATCGAATCAAGATTTAAGACAAGGTCTTAGGTCACTAGCCGTTAGTCCTAATTATGCCGATCACTGTTTTCGTCCTGGTTACGCTTAACGATGTGAAATAAATTAGGGGTTGAAGACTGTCATCGCTGAACAAATAAAATTGTTACCTGAATTGTCTATATATTTTTAGATGTAGAGTTCACCGGAGGAGATGACTGGACACTGTGGTGGTCTACCTACAAGAAATCTGCAAGGAATGGTCAGCTGATGAATTCCTACAGTTGGGTACTTAAAAGTTTGAAAAGAGCGCTTTTAGTGTCCCTTGCCCACTGTATTCGAAGAATCTGCAGTAGTGACAGCTTAAAAAAGGAACTCATGTTGCTCAGCAAGATCTCTGGACAAAATGAAAAGACCCAAACTAAAAAGAGAGGCACCCATTCCAGTCCCAAAGAAGTTATACATGAATTTTGACTTCAAAGATGACTTGAATGCCGATATCCTGAAATTAAGAAGTTCAAACTCGCTAACAAAATCTTTTCTCCCATCAACAGTGACGACTGTATTCTCCAGCCATTAAATATATCCTGACAACCCAAAAGACCAGCTTCCACATCTGACCACTTCCATGTGTGTTTATCAATTCATCTGCATCTGTGGGGCAAGATACGTAGATTGTTTGATGTACATTCCTTCCAAACAGGTTAGAGAACAATACCCAACTTGGCTGCAAAGAAGTGCAAGTGAATCCATCGAAAGTGTCAACACTCGTCACACCATCACAACTGATCCACCTTTCAGAGTCATCTATAATGTGAAAAGAAATTTGCCAAAAATGGTGTTTCCGCCTTCTTCCTACAGCAAATGCTCTTGTCATATGCATAGAGAAACTGGAATTATGTGTACTGAAGAAACTTCTTCGACCTTTGTTGCTAGCTCGGGATTAGTAAATTGCTAACAACATATCGACCTCACTCTCTCTCCCTTTTATTATTCACAACTTTCTCATATTTTACGATATTTTCATGCTACTCTTGATCCTGCTTTATCTTAAAAATTATTTGTATGCATTATGCCCCCTTGTATTCTGTCTGATTGATTATATTGGTTCCTACGCTCTTTCTGCAGATAATTGTCACCTTCCACCACACTTGTGAATTTTTGACCTCCATTGCACTTGATCTTCGTTGCCAAAGACCTATGTACAATAGATTCAATCATTTCCTTAAGCTCAGATGCACTAACAATGGTCCCTAACACAGCATCAAAACATTTGCCGAGCAAAATCACAGGTCATAGAACAAATGATTGTGAGTATTCCCAAAATCAGCAGCAAATATTTCCCAACAAGTATAGTCTTATGCTATGTACTTGATATTTTACCCATGACTACAACATAAGCAACATAGCTGTCTTCACACCTTTACTAGTTTTCCTTCCCTCCGCTCTCAAGGCTGGACTCTCAACGGTTGTTAACCATATGTGTATTTAGTGTTGTCAAGGTCATTTAAAAATGTATAAATATGCAGCATTGCTGTCAACTGTATTAACTGTTGTTGAGACAGTACAAGGTTCTTTGTCAACGACCTGTCTTGTTTTCTTGTCTTCACATGTCGGTGGTATTGTTATGGTAATGGTTGACGTTTTGATTTGCGTTAGAGTCGATTCGTTGCGCTTAGATTCATATCGTTCTTAGTCTTCTAGGCTTGTATCACTAGTAGAGTGTTAGGTCATACTACCGGTCATAACATCTTATTAAACCCGAAATATTATAATGAATAACTTTTTGAGTCGTCTGCAGAAATATATAGCTCAACAATTTTTAAGAGATTGAGCATAGTCGTATAGATATATTGCTTAATTTGAAAACTTGCTTATCAGGTTCTCAGTTAACAAAACAGTTTTCATCATAAACTAAAGTAAGTTGGACTGTCATTGCAAATCAGTCAACACTCGTCCTACCATAGAAGTTCTCAGTAGTGCGCATCCGACAACTTTGAGAGGGAACGAAAGCAAAAAACCATCATGCCTGGTGATCTAAAGTTTCCAATAGCTTTCCAGTTGACATCAATCTGTGGCTAAAACTGCTGTAAAACTAGTAGCTGAATAACTAGACATTTTTTTCTAGAAACCAACTACTATGGCTAATTGATATTGACAAGAGTGAAATGAAAGTTTCATCAATATGAACTAATAAATCCCCAAATTGAATATTCTTTCTTACTTTGATTTTGATGAATTAGAACGACTAAATTTTGTGTTATCTAAATGTGAATTTGATAAACTGATTCCAAAAGACGTCACTTCTTTTGCCAAATTTAGTTTAAAATCAGCTTCAGTATGGAAACGAGTTAAACAATTGGTAAAACGTTGAAAAGTAGGAAATTTCTGTTGATCAATATTGGTTAAATCCTCTTTATCTTGTAATGATTGTTCTACAGTTTTCATAGTTTGCATAGGTTTTCTCATTTCATCTGATTTTGTCATAATCAAACGACCTATTAGATAGAAATAGTTACGAAGGATAGAAAATAAGAAGGAAAATGTATAAAACTCATCATGATAACACGTAGGAAAGAAAATTCAATACTATAGACAGACGAAATTAATGTAGAACTCCGCATACAACTGCACCGGTTCAAGTTGCCACACTTCATAGTGGTATACGAAGCACAGTTGGATAGAATTAGAGTGATATCAAAATCGACAAAGTCGTTTGAGGGAATGAGCAATCTGGGGATAACGGCTAGTGTGAACAATCAAGCTTCAGAAGTCATCATAGAGTGAAAACATCTGCTCCATTGTGACCGGTTTTGCAGTCATAAGCCCTCAACCATCGAGTCCTAACGTCCTTGGGACCTCAGACAGATAGTTCACACACACACGCTCACATGATTGAGACCAGAGGTCAGTGACTTCATCGATTGATGCCAGGTCTTGGTCTGGTCAACTTGAACCTTCTTTCCTTCTAATCCAACTTCGCTAGCACAGTAAGTAGAGATAGGCGATAATTCGACATGTCCAACATATGTTCAATTCACCTTAGTTTCTTAAGGTTCAAGAACTCATCCACCAACTTCCGTTCTTTGCCTATGGCATTTTGCCTTGCATCAGCATTGGTGATTGCTTATTTCACAAGTAAAACTCACCTACCTGTTGCTGTCATAATTATCTACTGAGTTCATTTAACGTTCAATTGAAATATGGATTAGTGTCCCAGTAGCCAACAGTAACAGTTTCTTTATCGTTCAACCACTAGAGTATTCGTAACTAAACACAGTCAAGGTTATTGTGATGAATTCAAGGTAGCAGGTACATCCAGCTGACGAGCCTAAAACAGGAAGAAACCCCCTTTGTGGATTCCACTACTAGCCTTTATCCATCATTAATATACTTATATAATTTAGTCGGATAATATATTCAAGTGAAACTTACTTTGCATTATTCTTATGTAGTAGATCGGTGCTTAAGTGTCGTCTCACATGACACTGTCTATCTACCTGTCAGTTGAAGAATACCACTTTATTGTGTTGGAGGGGGAAATGACTCATTTTCCTTTCTTAAACTGCTGTAAATTGTTAAGTCTGTAAATCGCATGCATACATGCCAGGGACAGGTTATTTTATTACTGGAATTTCAAACAACTACTCCCTTTTATGCATTTAAATAGTTTAAGTTTATCTGAAAAACTTGTTATATATTTGTGCAATACACATTTCCAACAGTCTGATCACACATTTATTTGTTGAGTCAATTTATCTATAACTGCAAATATTAATTCATATGTACCTCCTAAAGTACATACACATTAAACGAACAGAAAGAAGGGTTTACGACCGCATATCTGGACATATTCCAAGGAATATACCATTGAGAGTTAGAAAAGTCTTCAACAGCGGTATTGTTCGTCACCTTATTGATATTGGACGTGAAGTCAATACTTAGAAAATGTTCAGAATAATCAGTAAACAAATGAATTCGAATTTGTTACATTTCGCTAAAGCGTAGCCATTGAACAATTGAAACTGCACTTTGGCATTCAGAAAGGAACATTTATCAGTCTCTAACTTCTATTGTGAAGACTTTTGTTCTGTTGATAATCACCCTGTTTTTATGCATATCACTGTCGATTCGTACAAGTTCTTATGTTTATTTCTTTGGTTTTTTGTTGTTATAATTTTACACTTCACACACTACCTAATTATCTGAATCCTACTCACATTAGTTCTTAGGTAACAAAAGTCCTTTACACATTTTTGCAACCTTTCTCAGTGTCTTCAGGTTGAAATTATTTACGAACTGACATCAGATGAAGGAACAATGGAAACGTAGGAGCACTGGACAGTTGCTTCATTCTAATATGGGACTCCTCAGCAGTGTGTACCCATGGCCCTACCCCGCTAGGGATCGAACGCAGGGCCTCCAGGCTCCACGGCCAACATGTTAACATTGAACCATTGGGCCGAAATCCACTGGTTCATATTTCCTACTTCTGTCAGTTTGTGATGTAGCCTGACCCCCATTCAATATTAAATCGCTGAGTAAACGTCCTCACGTTCGACCTGGTTGGCTCAACTGGTACGACTCATTGGAACTTCTGGAGTCACCTTTCAATATGCTGAATGTATTTGTCTCTTCCTCATATTCAACTTCCGCTCTGAAATAATGGTCTGACTCTTTTGTATAGTGATGAAATTACTATTGGTTCAGCGTATTTATCCGCTCAGTTCTTATGTTTCAATTGACATTATATCGATGTTATCTCTATCTCTTATCAAATCGACAATTTTCTGTCAAAGTGATTCACGTATGCAAACACTTAAGTAAACGATATCAGTTGGAGAGCTATTTCAAACCCGAGGGGCTAGGCAACTGTTTCATTCCAATATAGGACTCCCCGCTAGGGTTCGCACTGCTGCTGATGTCAGTCCATGATTAATACTGCCTTAAACATGAAATTCCTATTAACCTCAAAATAAATTGGTGTTAAAATTGTTTTAGGTTGTAAGCAGCAGATGGAAAACCGCGAAATAAAATGGAACCTTACAGGTCTTGGTGCTTAGGAGAGGAACCCAAAATGCGTGTTTCATCATATTTGAAACTCTTCAACTGGATGTACCTGCACTGCAGTGCGTGGTGTTGTCCCCACTGAAACTCGACACAGTATTCTGCGCTTCGGGCTCCAGAGAGTTATCCACTAAGCCACTGGGGCATGAGTATCAGTTGTTGTTGTGATACTTCTAATTTCTGATGGTATACAGGGTCGAACTGCTCGACCGAAACGCTTGTCCTGGATTCCTTCTCTAGTTACCAAGATCAATGTAACATCATGAGTTTTCAGCAGTATCGAGCATCCGCATAGGAGCCCACCGGCCAACAGAGGTCGAGCGGTTCGGCCGAGTATAGAAACGGGAAATTACAAGTATCATGACAATAAATGGAACCATTATTCTGTTAAAGTTGTTGTTCCCTCTCTATTCAAAACATGAAGGATAGCAAGACAAATAGAACAAGTGAGACAATGGAGGACTGAAACTTAGAAAGATGAGAACAAAAAAGGAATAGTGACATATAATTGATCCTAATCTTTGTCGGAAAACAAAGTTTACGGGGGAAAATTGTTTCTGTTCACATAAAGGGGGTTTCCATTTGCATATGGCTATAACTTTACTACATCTCAGTATGAATCCCTGACTATTTCCATATAAACTTGAAAAGTTGTTTGAAGAATAATTTTATGACCTGTTTCAATAATATGTTTTGGTATAGATGAAGAGTAACTTTAAAAGCTACCCTGGTAACTGCTGAATGGACCAATCAGGCTTCGGTTTTTCGCCCTGGAAAATACTTTTCTCTAAAATAAAGGATCGTAATCGGCTGTTTCATCAGTTGCTAGGGCTGCCTTTAAAGTCACCCTAGATCAAAAGGGTCATCTCCGTCTGCTCTTATCAAGGTTTTATACTCTATTTGTCTTTGAAGTCATTTAGGTACATGTTCTCCTAGCATCAACTCCATGGCTCAATTACTCCTCCCTATGCTTTATAGATCTCAGAAATACACTCAACATTGAAAATGATCGGTGATTTCCGAGTAATCAAAATCACGTTGTCTAGTTCAATATATGCTAATTGAAGTTCGGGTAGTAGGATCTCGAAGTTTGGAGAATAGTGATCACGATGCAGTTTGTTCGATGTTATACGGCCAGAAGTAATAACCAAGCAATCGCGGAGCTATGTTTTGCTGTTGCTGGCATACAACTGTTATGAAGTGGCCAGAAATGGAAATCCTTCAAGGTCATTCGCTGTCGGGGTAGAAATATTTTCGTTCCAGACCTTGATTTATGTTTAGCTGATTGGTGATGTAGTGGCTTCATTTTTGTGAGCAGCAGCTCTTGATTGATCATCTAGCGGCTTCATTTTCTGAGTAAAAGCCGTATATAAATACTGTTTTTGTCAAATAAAATCCTCTTCCTTAGGTCGGTTGCAGGCCCGTCTTTTGTCTTCTGGTTTCGCCGCTCAGTGAAATATAGGGTGTAGAGGAGAACAGTCCAGTCGAAGTATCTCGTTGCAATATTATCTCGTTCGCGTATTATTAGAACTGTGTCCTACCCCAACTCACAACCACATCAACAACAGTAAGGCATACCTTCAAATTTGGTACAAATGATACAGTTCACTTAGTTGATGGTATGGATCTATTCTTTCACCTTCGTTCATATCCAAACTATTGATAATCTTTATGTTACGAACTAATTACCGATCCGAGTATATACTTCAGTTGTACACTATGTCAGTGGTGGCTTATAGAGTTTGGTGGTAAATTCTCCGACTGTATCATCCAGTGTATCAAGGTAACATTGTTCGAATGACTGCGAGTTTCCCTTCACTCTGTTGAACGATGACAAGTAAAAGTCTGGGTTAAGCAAAGTTTCTCATCAATCCAATCACCAGTCACATTGCGAGCAATATCATGTCAGTTTGTTCAGTGGTAGCCTTGACAAACCTAATGGACAGAATTCTATGAGGGATCAACAATCGACAACTAAGTCGATTATCGTAATTTGTTTGATGAAGGTACATCCAGCTGACAAGTCCCAAATGGGACGAAAAGCGCTTCTTGAATTCTTTTGCCAGCCACAACCAAGCAAACTATTATTACTATCATTGTTACCCTTTACTAATCTGTATACCATTGTTTCTTTTAGCGATGATTGTACAAAATAGTGAGAGTCCACGTCATCTGGTTCAACTTTAAAGTCTCAACTCATATCAATCACATTACTTCAAATCAGAAAAAAATGGATGGTCCTTCTTGAGGTGTAACAAAATGCCATCTACTGAAGGTCATAACGTTGAAAAGAGCAAAGTGTGATTAGTTTGTGATGGGTTTGAAATTTCATGAATTATGAACAGCTAATTGTTAGTTATACTGAGTAATTTCAGGTGAAGTGCTCTGAAGTCTCATGGCAGAATTATTCAGGTTGGCAGATTTGAGAAAATTAGAGATTTCCGATAATGGAAGCCATAGAAGTATAAATGGAGTGTTTGGTAAACAAATGATCAGTTATGGTGTAGTTCAGATCGATTTATGCCATGAAAGATACACAATCAACGATGTGATTTGATTACATGGACCTAGTTGACTGGCAAACATGTTACACATGTTTAACAATCATCTTACTCAACCAGATAATCAGACAGTTAATTAGAACAGTTTTCAGACAGTACATGTCAGATTATTACTATTTATTGATGTGCTTGTAATTCTCTGTTGTTTTACTGGATCTGATTGTTCGACTCTTATTGGCACATACGCTCCTTTGCTAGCTATAACCAGACAAATTACCATAATTAGTATTAAGGCAATATCCAGGCATTCGCATAGGAGCCTATATGTCAATAGAGGTCGAAAATTTTGATCCAATAAAATAACGGAGAATTACAAGTATGTCAATAAATAGCAATAAGTTGATTATCATCAAGTGAACAACTCTCAGTGAATGTAAATTACATTCATACTATTGGTGCAATGAACAGCGTAAACTGTTAAGTATAGAATTTTGGTGTTAGATAGGTAGTAAGAGTGAATCTGAAGGATGCCCTGCCTGACCTATTTTTTTATACTTGCTGTCACTCATCAGCAGAACGTGCGTATCCCTAACCATGAGGAAACTGTTGTTACGTCGTTGGTTCGAACCTATGTCCCTCATCTCTGAAGTTGGAGGCTTAACCAGTTCTATAGGAAGTCAGTTAAGACATGAACAGCTCAGTGATAGCATCTCTGACTGCAACACTGGGTGATGCGGATTCCAGTTTCACATAGAACAGCCGTTCCACAGGGGTCACAGATACGCCTTCCTAACACGAAACGTAGATCGAGTGGGGCTTGTTGTCAATTGCCCCCAACCGACTAACGATGAGCCTGCTAGTTTGGTGACGACACAGGACTAGACAGCAAGAAATTGGTTGGTGTCCATTGACCAACCAATGTGCTTAGTCACTAAGCTATTCAAGCTGAGAAACTCCTACCATATAACATCAAAATAAAGTATACCGTGGTGTCGCTAAGGCCTAGAGAGCTACATGTGTTATCCACTGGTGGAAAACTCGCGAAGCATTGAATTTATCTGCATTCTAAACAGCATTCACCTTTTCTTACAAACCACCCTATCATACCATAGTGTACTGGAAGAAAGTGATTGTCAGTGTAGCTAAGTTACTAGTTGTCTGAGATAAGCTATACTACTAACTGATGTCCATAACAAATCTCCTCGTTTCCTCGTCATCAAGGTATATATATCCGAGCTAAAACTGGACTCAAGTTGATCAGCAACCAAGATAACATAGTAAGCACGATCATCGTAATCACCTAATTTTAGAAACGATCACTGATCGAAAATCCTACACTATTTCGAATCAGAAGCATAATATTAACTGCAGCAAAAATGACCAACTGTCTATCTACCTTGTCATCCTATCTCACAAACTTCTAAACGGGAACTACAAATCTCTTGAACTTTCCATCATAAAAAAACTGACCTTATACCCTTTCCTCCTATCTTGCTTACAGAAGCTTTTCCAGAAGCTTTTTAAGACAACAGGCAGACAGACACAATAGCACTGAAGCTGTCATCAAAAAGGTATTCCTTTCAGGTGGTTCAATAAACTACCGTCTTATGTGCACTCATCTATCTTTTTGTATTGAAAGCAGTAGTAAGACCACATTAATTCTGGTTAAATACCGGAAAGACATCAAAATTATTCTGAAGAAGATATTATAAAGCAAGGACGCTGAAATTCCCAGTGTTAGTAGTATAGATCACGTGGTTTTTTATAATCTAATTCAGCTGGAAATACGACAGGGTAGATACTCACTGCCCCATAATATTTATTACCATAAAGTTGAAGAACTCACGTGCTCTAATTTTATTTAAATGCATTCTACGTATTTGTGACAGTCTAGCAGCTCGACGTAACGACAACAAACTCTCCGAGGTTGTGGTTGACAATAGGATAGGCAATTCAACACGATAGACATAATTTCGACCAGTAGGTAAGCTAGATCTCTTCACCACTGTATTGCTAGTCTTCTCATTATTGTCGCCAACATTTTCATTGACATCAATATCAGGAGCATCATCGTCATTCCGTGGTGATTTGGTAATGATGGGGAGTATGTGTTGTCGCGGGTGTTGATGTTCTCGGTGGTCCCCATCATTTCGACCTTGACTAGATCGTTCACTTTGTTCATCTTCAGCATACTTATTGATCCGTGTAATTTGATCAAATAATTCATAATATTTCAATAAACATATTGTGAATACAGTTAAACCATCATCTGTCAACTGATTGATATTTGCACCAAAATCTAACAACAAATTAACCAATTTCATATTCCAAGTTAACTGTATTGTTTTACAAAAAAATAAAGAAATGAGAGGAGAAAAAAAGATAATTATTACATGAATTATGGAATCTTGGACACAATATCAGTCAAACTAATCCCTCTAAGGTTGTTGCAAGAAGATTTCTCTCCCTTCATATAAACTGGAATGATCAGAGATGAAGATCAGTCTGACGGCACTACACCTGATTCCCATTCACTACTTAGTACCTCTGCCATTTTAATCAGTGATTTCCTACCTTCACCGTTGAAAACTCCAGATAGTGAACTCTCAGGTACTTCTTCTGAGCATAATTTCAGGTTCGATACAGACTGCTAAACTTTGATGAAAGTTTGAGTACCAACATCTACATCTCATTTCGATTCGGGTTAACTGAATGCTGGACAACTGAAGAGTTGTAAGTGGTCAGTTGAAATTTGCTTCAACTTTTTCTACTTAATGTTCTGGTTACCTGTTCAGAGATTTTATCAGAGTCCTATCCTTTTCGGTGGTGGTTTCACTAATTTCTTGCCGGAATCCCAAATAAGCCTACATGGTTATCGAGTGTTACCTAAAGCTGATGCCTTTTCCATTTCTTTAGCTTTCATCACCCACCATTTCTCAGCAATTCTACGGAGATAACGTTGATGATACACCCGAATTCGTTGAATATTCCTGACTAGGAAATTATTGGTTTCGCCTATGCCTTTTAAAAGTGACTTATAGAAATCAAGTTAGTGTCACAACAACGTCTAGACATTTCCTGCTCGGGTTTCCTAGATATGATCTGAAATTTCATCAGTTGCATTTCCACCAGTACTGACATGACTTCCAAGATAAATGAACTTTATGACTATTCTCAATATTTCAGTGCAGGTAAACGCTTCTATGGATCTTGTAGAACCTTTCTACACGATGGTGAAAAGCACATATCATACCTACGTTTTTGCCTAATATGTGCCCGAGTTAGGGTGTAAATATAAATCATTTATGCAACACATAGTGAAGTCAGATTTCTGTCATAACAAATATTCAGTGAACTCAATAAAAATTATAGTAGGCCTTCATCGGAATTATGTTAATGATGGATGGTGGCTAGAAGTGGAATCCAGGATGCGCATTTCGTCCTATTTGGGACTCGACAGCTGGATGTACCTGCTTCCCAGTGCGTGATGTTGTTTCCACCTGGATTCGAACTCGGGAGCCTGTTGGATAAGCAAAATAAATTTTTCATGTTACAACTTGTACAAGGAGTGACTATAGTGTTTCGTAGGCTTAATCGATAACATTGTGGCGTTCAATAAAAGAGAGTTGTATCCCAGTTCCAAAAGCAGCACCACTAGTCACTGGGTTACGGGTACATTTGAGTGGTAAGACCCAAACAGACCAAAACTGGCGTCTTGGTTTACACTAATTATCAGTATTTATCTCTACTAACAAAATATAATTCTTGTTTGCAGAGAATGAGATGGTCTTGGTTAATTAAACTGATGAGGAGAAAAAGTTCAACTCATAGCAGAAAACACTCATGAGCATGAAGTTTACTGACTCCGTGATCTGCTGTGACTGAGCGAAAAGATTAAACTCCACGGCAGGTAATTCTAAGTCAGATGTGAGCATAGTTTGCTTTTGGTGTTAGACTTTCCAACTCGGTGGACAGAAAAATCTACTTGACCGAGGTTTCTGGATGGTTAACACTATTCAAAAACGTGTATCAAAAAACATGAAGAAAAATGGTTTCTCTTCGATAACTAAAACCTCTTTCACTCTGTATCGAAGCCATAGATTATACTACTGATCATTATTGACCTTCCGTTAAACTGAGTTATGTACACGAATTAGCTGCCAGTCGAGTATCCGATGCAGTTTTCCAGTACTTATTACTTAGTACTAATCACAGACGTTAAATGAATAGAGGTAATCGAAAAGAAGCTCAACTTAGCAAGGTTTCGGGCTTGTTGAAACTCGTCAGTAAGGTGTATCTGCAACCCCAATGGAACTAATGTCGACCCTAGGATTCGAACCATGTCACCTAGGACGTTACTGCTGATTAAAAATTTATCGGTCAAGATTTATAAAATAGCATTTAAGCAAATGCATTTCGGTCTTAGATTTACTTCTTGGTTAAAGTCAAAAGGCATCAGAGTTACTACGCATCGAATAGTATATTGATAAGATGGTGAATTTTGCATTTCCCATGAAATCTTAAGCACCAGTCTACTTTTACTAAAATCCCTTCATCGGTATTCGAATATACCTAAAAGAATACTTATGAATTTCAAGAAAACCACAAGTCCTACTTCAAAGATATGGTTCCAGTGCGTAAATGATACGCGTACAGTACTGAAATCATAGCACACCCATAGGTTCTTTGCACATATTAATTCAGTAGTGAATGCAATCCAATTTACTTGTGACTTAGAAAGTGATGAAGGTGAGCTAACAATGTTGAATTGCAAGATTAAATGAAAATAAGGTGGAAGTCTAGAGACTAGTATCTATGGGAAACCTACCCATTCGAATCGCTACTTAGACTTCAAATCCTCCCACCACCCCATCTCAGTTAAAGCAGACTTAGTTAAATGCCTAAGTGATGGGGGGGGGCGGGGCAAGCTTACTAGTAGACCAGAAAATCTACAACAAGAAATTAGACATATCAAGAACACCTTGCACCTCAATAACTACCCACTCAAACTCATAAATAAATGCATGGGAAATCTAAAGAAAAATATTAACAGTGGTAGTAGTAGTAGTAGTAATACTACTAATGGTAATAATGGCAACAGGGTTGAGAAGGAATTCAAAGCCTCTGCTGTGTTACCATAAAAGAAAGGTACCTCAGAAGCATCATGAAGAATTCTCAATAAGGTTGGTTGGGATTAAAGTAGCATTTAAACCAAGTAACTCGCTTAGAAACAAGCTTTGTAGGTTAAAATATCCCACTGATACAATTAAGCAAAATAATCTGGTTTACCGAATCCCTTGCAATGATTATGAGGTCAAATACATATGCAGTCGACCAGGGTGAATTAGAAGAACAGAACACAAAAAATTAGAAATATCAGGATTAGTAGATTGTAATAAGATAAGAAAACTAGAGAAAATCCCGGTTATATCTCTTGACGTAATTACACACAATCATACAATAATAAAAAAATACACAGTAGGGTGGGATACAGTGACAGCGCTAAAAATTAACTTAGTTAAGTAGAGGGAGGGAGAGGTTGATAACCGAATCTTTGTTTATCGAATCAACACCAAATACGTGCAGTAACAGGAATGATTCTGCACCTGTCCCAGATATATGGAAAATTCTACTACCCTTGTGATCACAGAGATGGAGATAAAAATTAGGACAATATAAACTCTGTCTTGAAGTTGTGAAGTTACCTGGTTTGAGTATGGACAATAAATTGTGTCCGAAACCTTGTTATCCCGTATATGATAGTCTCACTTTGTAACATTTCTAATAAACAAACTAAATGAAACAGGTCGTTTATCTGAAACATGTGATACTCTTCTTCAGTACATTACTAACAGTCTAGTCACACGTATACACACATACATATTCACTTGTCACTGCCTACTTATATGGATCCTATGTTTATACGATAATTTATTTTAGAAAATAACCAATTTAATGGAGGGTCAAATGGTCAAACCATTGGAAGTTTAATGTAACTAAGAGGTTTAGACTTTCACTTAGCCAAAGCTTCATCGAACTTAAGTATATGTCCCGAGTGATTTCGTAAATAGGCCTCAGAGATACATACACATCAACGTTTTGACCTCTTTCAATGATAATGTTTGATCACAAACAAAGCCAGACAATTATTGCTTTGATCAGTGGAATCATTCAGCTTGGTTTGTTGTTATAGCCAATTTGTAATTTGTTCTCTGGATCTTTCGTGCATAGACCTATGGATTCTCTTTGTGTATGTATGACTGCACACATATGTAAAGTGATAGACGCTACTGGATATCACCCCATCGTTCAGATGCTGAGTGGGGTTACATGAGTACAAAAGCTTCGTTTTCTCTATAGTGTGTTTGCTTTTGTTGCGTAATATGTCCTTCAGATGGCTGCCTTAAGTCTGTGATTGGTTGTCAGATTCTTAGAAGTATTCATATACGGTAGCATGATATTTACACCTTTCCTTAAGAATAATTGAATAGTGGATCTTCTGTGTTTCATATTCCTTCTATGAATAACAAATTGTAAGCAATAATTGTTATCGAATAGTATTTTGATGAACTTTTGCGTTTCCTTCTATAAAACATCATTTATGCATACCCCTTGGATCCAGTTGAACAAACACTTCGCCAATGCCTATTGATACAGAACTGGACAGAAATAGTAGTAATTTAGATAACATTCTGTCAATAAAGATTTCCTACAGATCGGCCGTTTTATTGATCTATCTTACCGGTGATTTATGAGAATATCTAAGAATGGCAGATTGTTCTCTGTTTCTTTTTCACATGTCAAGGATTTACTTTTCTAAGTTTAGTAAAACAAGTATGTTTCGAACACATCTGTATATAGCCTGAAGTTTACTGTATGGATTGAAAACTGTAGAGTAGATCTCTTGGTTTAGTTTGATTTACCAAGGAGTTCACAAGAATTTAGATATCTCAAACTAGCCATCACTAAATATTTATAAACCATTTAGTGGCTAAGGTTAGAAGATCTTAGCAACAGTACAAGATCACTGCGCTAGGGCTCAACCATTCAAGAATACATCAAGCCATTCCCGAAGTTATAAAGTCATGAACACCATTAGTTAAGTTTTCAGTCATTTGACTAAAAACCACTTACACCTTAAAACTTTTTGGCAACTTTTGGCTAAATTTTCAGTATAACGCCAATGACCTTCGCCAACAGCAAATATCTTGTAATCCCTGTCATCTTCGCTTCCTTTTGAGGTAGAAAATGGTTGGTTCAAAGTAATAGGCGAGTTTCAGTACATTTTCTGGTGTGTATCAAAAAAGGTACTGATGTCAATCTACGATGAATAACAACATGAAATATTTCCAAACCTCCACAACTCCCTCAAAATTCAATTGAACATACAGTTACTTTCTGCTGTAATGGTGAATTGTGTGTGTGTGTGTGCATGTGTGTAGGCAAGCTCATTTTTCCAGGTTGGCTATACATTATCCTGGTAGTCGAACATACTTTTTATGATTTCGTTACTATTGATCCACTATGATCAAGCAGTGACTATTCTCGTACTCAACTGATTGAAATAAAAAGACTGTAGATATGGCCTGCAGTATCCAGAATAAAGAACCAAACAAGAAGAAGAACAAAGGATATTAATTAAGTAGAGCAATGTCTTATACACCGAAACTATGATGTCAGTCAGCTGGTTATAGTCTGAATTTTCAATAACAAATAAGCAGCTACGGATGGTATGCAGGTAAGTAGTTAGACCACAACTTTGTGCCTAGGCTTTAATCCTAGCCAACATAATTTTATCTGAAGATATAGCTAGTTTCGTGTATAATTTTGACTTTTGCCTGTCCAAAATTTGCAGAACTGACTTGTTATGTAGACATAAAAACAGCAAGATGCACAGGAAATATTGGGCTCTGCGTATAATGTATCACTTCACATTCTGACATTGCACAACACCAAGGAAAGCGAAAACTGATAGGAATGGAAAGATATTGAAATCCCTAGAAAAGAAAATGACGAATGAATGGGAAACGAAAAAGATTGACTAACATGGTGTCTAGCATTTAAACGAAAATTAACAGTCTGTACTCTTTTTCTTACTCAAATCGGTTTCGCTCAAAAAATATTCATTTCTGACGTCGTAAGAACCTGAGACTTAAAACTGCACAGTCTTTGGTCATGAAGGCAGCGGTATAAAATTGAGACGACATGATGTGACTTATGTGAACGTGAGTTTTTTTCGATTAAGGATAATCCAAACCGCTTCACGATATTACACCAATCTGTATTACTCTGCAAGGAAAATATCGAGCGAAGGGGAAAATAACAGTCTATCTGTTTGATGTCGTATTCCTTTTAATAAGATTGTTCATAAACAGTATCAACATCATTGATTAGGCCTTCTCAAACAATGTCAGCAAATAAGTGGATATCTCTTCCTGAGGAAAGCATTCCAGTGTTGTTCTGAGCGCATAGAAGTGATTTTTGTTGCAATGTCATTGAAGAAAGTGATAGAAACTCACTGTCAGCTGTTGGCAAGTTTGACTGACTGATTAACTCACATAACTGACGTGGAATTTCGGACAGAAGACCATCAACTCAAGTTGCCACATTTTACAGTAGTATACAAAGAACAGGTGGATATAAAATAAATGAGATTCAAGTAGATACAGTAGTATTAGAGAATAACCAATCTGAAGATAACGGTTAGTGTGACTATTTAAGCTTTAGAAAGCGTCAAAGAGTGAATACACCTACACCACTGTGATAGATTTTCAGTCATGTCACCAAAAGTCCTCAATTGCTGATTCCCTTTGCCTCAGGGAAACAAGCTAGACGGAAGCCTATATGTTTCCACATTGCTCAGGCTAACAGTAAGAGACCTCACCGACTGGTGCCAACCTCTTCCAACCTAATCCAACTTCCTCTAGCATGAAAAACTTATGAGCTTGTTGCGAAAGTATTATTTATTTCAAGTAAGTTCTATCTTTCAGAGGTGGTGATCAGTTGATTGTATATATCATATTCCCCTCCAGGTTATTTAGTGTACGTTAGTTGTATATTTGTAAGTTATTTAGAATTTATACTGGGTGATGATTGAAGGTGAGATGGAAATCTGGACCGCGGCCGAATTCAAACCAGCAATCACTTGGTTACCGGTTCAGTTCTCTACCAACTGAGCTACGAGGTCCGATTGCCGATCAGAATGTTATTTAACTTCAGTCACAATCGGGGTTTTGCCCGACTACCATATGAATTCGTGATGCGTTACCACCGTTTGATCGTATTCACACTGGCTGCCTAGTCAGGACTTCTCGTCCTAATCCAAATGTAACTGATTTAGAATAATAGGGGGAGTATCATATTGATTATAATTTGACTATCTGAGATGACCGTTGTCTTGTAATCTGCACTTCTATTCGCATGATAAACAAATGTTCTAGAGTTGATATTTACATCCCTGACTATCTGTTGACGAACTCCATAAGCGTTGATCATGAAGGACTTCATGACAGAGTTTTCGACTTCACCACTGATTATTAGAGGTTTCAAATGTGGAAGAAGTATAAGTTTCTCTAAAATTTTGTTGATGAGTCCCAACAAGTACGAAAGCGATTTTGAACAGTGCCTTTTGAGGACCGCAGGGATAGTTGAGAACTGAATTTCCCATACATGTTCCACAATTTTATTATGGTGAAAGATGATGGTAGTCAATCAACACGAGGTCTTGGACGTAGGTTGTCTACATGTTGTCAAGATTTCAGCTTTGTTGACAATACTGTATTCACCTGAAGATAAACTTCCACCGAATTTTCATCTCTTCTACCAGTTTAGTTTAGCTGACTTAATTAGCTAGCTATTTCAAGTAGATTCGGATTATGATGAGAAGCCTTGACTAGGCAGCCAGTGTCAACATAATCAAGCGGCAGTAACGCGTCATGAATTCACGTGGCAGTCAGATCAAACCCTTGGTGTTTGAAATAAAATAATAATCTGGTTGAGATTCGGGTCTCGTAGCTCAGCTGGTAGGTCAACTAGAAGGGAACCTGATGGTCGCTGGTTCGAATCCTGTCGTGACCCAAAATTTTCATTGCACCTTCAACCATCATCCCCCAGTATTCATAATAAAAGTCCACCATATCATGACTATCTCAGATAGTCAAAATGATATTCAAATTTGTTTGTTTTATTCCATCCAAATACATTTTTATATTAAATCACAAAGTGGAAATAATTCTAAAGCATAAACTCACCACTGCACCTAATAAACCAAATTGTCCATGACTATCAGCGATATTTGGATCAACACAAAATTGATTTTTACCAATTTGGTTTTCAATTTGTAGTAAATGTTTAACTTTTTCAAATTGACCATTAAAACAATATTGAATAAATTGAATAGCTAATGTTTCATATTTACCCGTAGACAAGGTGTGTAGATTAGTATTGTTATACTTTTTCAGTTTTTCTTTACTGGGCAGTTTTTTTAAACGTGTAGATAATTTATGCCAAATACTTGACCAATTTTTAAGGAATAATTGATCATTTGAACAATGTTCAATGTTTCCAATGTTTTTAAATTTTTCATCATCATTCTTTAATTGATTATGTTTGCTATCAGGTTGTTTTTCCATGTATGAACTTGTGGTTACATTACACCAAGATAACTTAGAAGTTGAATTACGTAAGAATTCTTGTAAATGTGCAATTTTTGATATTTCTGATCGCATATTCACTAGACAAACTGTTTGATTCTGTTGAAATTGTGGACTGATACCAAGATTGAAAAAAACAAAAGTAGTAAAACTTAACTGAAAGCGTAAGACATCAATGTCAGATCGTTAAAATCTGTCAAAAGAGAAGTTCTACTTGACCTGGTTTTTGTTAATCTACAGCTTTAAGGTCACATACTTTCCTGAGTAATTCAGTACTCAAATTATAGACATTTATTTACCTTTTAGGGTCTAAGCGCTCAACTCGAATTTAAACTATGTCAACCAATTGGTTGAATATATAGTCAAACAGCACAATTTTCAAAAACATACCTCATGTTTGAGGGTTTCAAATGGTTGTCAGCTTTGAGACAGTGATGTTCAACTAAACTGAAGAAGCGTGGGTTACTAACAAAAAAACAAGACATTATATTGACACATGACACTGCAACCTTGGTCTATGAACTTCAGTCGACACTTAAGACATATGACACAAAACCCAACCTTCAGTGAGTAGTTGATCTATTTCAAATTCCCACTCTTGGTATCACAGTTCTATTCATCACATCCCTAGGACTAGCTTAAATTGCTTTCAATAGTACATATGTAATTCATGACTCTGAAAGTGGTTCGCTTTCATCTGCTTATGAGCTGAATTCCATGATAAACAGTTAAGCAGTTGGATATTAGTTATAATCCTGCCCACTGTCATCAACTACTTGTGTCTGAGGAGTATCACATATGCCCCATATGCTAATGGAGACCGACCAATTAGGTCTAATCAACAACGAATAATACAAGCAACAACATTACTCAGTAACGCTTGGTCCTATATTGATCTTGTCTGTTCTAATAACCTTCTGGAAACATACCCTAAATTGGTCATAGAGAATTCTGTGTTCGAGTCACCTCGAAAGAATTTCTTTAGTTTGAATGCCTGAAACTTCTGTTTTCAATCCGTCGCCTAATTTTATTCAACTCTCAATCATGAGTGAAACAGTAGTTTAGATCACCAGGTGCGGAGGTGAGGTGTATCCAATATTATCAATTTGGAGTTACTTCTGAAGAACTAATGTGCTGTGAAAAGTTGACAGTGTTTCAATAATTCATCTAACTAGATACGACCTCTGTGTGGTTCATTTGAGTTTCCTAAGCTGAAGTATTTCGATGGCTATCCCAGTGACTATCACTGTTTTATTTGTCATATATTACATTGCGTCAAAGGATGTTAGTTGGTTGGAGGCAATCGCCAGGAAGTCCTTGACCTTGGTTTCGTGCTTTCCAGCACTCGTCAGCAAGGCGTATCTGCGACCTCGACGAAACTGATGTCCCACCTGGGATTCGAACCTGCGTCACACAGTGTTGTAGTCAGCGTCTTCACCACTGAGCTATTCGGGCTGCAATTGACCTTCTGTAGGACTGGCTTACATGTACTGATTGGTCACACGAGCGAAACCAATTTCATGTTGTCTAGTCCTGAGTGCAGACCGAATCCCACAGGAGGTCAGTGGCGGCCCGAATAACTGTGGCAAAGTCGCTGACTACAACACTGGGTGATGCAGGTTCGAGTCTCAGGCGTGACATCAGTTCCGTGACCAATCAATACACTGGGTCAAAGGACTTTTGACGATTCTACTTTATTGCTGAACTATTTTCATGAAGGAGTTCTTAAGTTGAGCTTTTTAAATAGTACCACTTTTCGTCTATTGTCAGTTGAAAGCCTAAAGTGATGATGGTGTCTACCGTGATAGCGAAACTCTCGCCGGTCAAAGTATCAGTCGAAATATTAAACTAGCGCAGACATTAAATATCGAAAATTGAATTTGATTTTCTAGAAAAAAGAAACCAAATCTATACATTGATTAAATAACTACTTACTCAAACAAAGAATCATGTTTTAAATTAGTTTCCAGTGGCATTTGTTTTACTGAATCATTGATTAACCTTTGTTTCAAAACAGTCATTTTTGACTCTTCTTCTGCATCATAAGTTTCCTTGTAGACTGAATTCAATAAACCGTTGCTTTCATCTAGATTTAGACTGACATTCTGACTGCTTGGTTTAATAATTTGTAAAATATTCTGCAAATCTGCTAGTCCGAAAGCAGACAAGTCGATAAATGTCGGCATACAGTATATTAATTGTTGAAAACACTGATCTGCAATAAATTTTTCAAAAAGTGGACTTTGCTTATTCCAAACTTGAAATGATGCCGATAAATTGCTTTGTTTCAATATCTAAAATTTAATTCAATGTCACAGAGAAAAAAACGTTTCAAAAGTATTGGAAACAAGTTCGTAGATTTACAGAATTATTGACTGTTGCATTGTCTTGAAAGTTTTCTGGTCACTAAACTACGTACTATTGTTGAAATAACAAGTGACTTTTGAAAGATATGTTTCTAACTCAGGGAGTGCATGTTCCAAGTGACTTTCTATCTGAGCATCATCGCCAGAGCTTCACAGAAAGGCAAAGGATTTTTCTAACGTCCTACTTTCCGTGAGTTTAGATATAGTGGCTGATTGAATTTGTTTGTTTGTTTGTTCGCAGTGCGTTTAGGTGGCTTCGTTGGGATTGGTTGGTCAGTTTTGTTTGGATTAACTGATAAAGGTCATCTTGATTCGATTGGTTGACTCTTATGTATTATGTTGACCAGACTAATTCACTCTGAGTTGGTTTCCTTGCTACTGCTGACCACTTAGTTTTTACGGTGAAGCGAGAGTCTTTTTGTATTGATTAGTTAACGGTAAGGGCTTGTTAAGTAAACGCCAGTTATCTTGGTGTTTTAGGCTGGCAGTCATCTCTCTGACTACGTCCTGGGTTTCTTTGCATTTGGATAGGAAGATTTCTGTAACTGACTCCTTTCAAATACGCTTGTATATCCCATCTAGGCCATCTAGGTGATACGTGACTTCGTAGGCTACTGTAAAAACAACTACAACGAAAAATCAGGTCCCTATACTCCATCTGGAGAAGTAGTTTTTTCTATAGAATTGAACAAAAGCAACTGGCAATTTCAGGAGATCCAATCGAAAGCAACATTGTTTGCCTACATGCCATAGTATTACTTTTATAGTGGGAATTTTTAATATTTCAGTAATTATTTGACTACCCTTTAAGATCTTTTATACATGAATGAAATGTATTTGTCTAAATTTTCTCCATGATCTAGAACAGCTATATGTGCAAGGCACTACTTAAAGTACTGGAAAAGATTTGTAGCTTCGGTTGAGGAAGATAATTGTCTGATGTTCTGCGAGCACTGGGGTTTGTTATTATTCAAGAAACAAATACTGATGAAGATGAAACCTGAAAGCTTAAAAAACGCCAAAACAATTGTCACAATGTGAAGTAAAAGCTAAACAAATACAGACAAGACGCCACTGCAGCGAAGAAATAATTTTTTTCTCGACTAAATCATTTGGGTTAAGACTGGAAGGAAACAAACAGCAGATTATGAAATCAAGTGTAACTATGTAATACGTCCTCAAGAAATAACTTTCAAAATCCTTAAATAGAACATAATTCGCGACCAACCTTCGAATCATTTTCTCCCGCAAGAAACTTTTGGTCGATGTCTGGCAGACAAGCTGACGCACTGGGTCACATTAGTGTATATATACCAGTTTTCTTGCTCTTGTGCAGCTGGCCACATTGGCTATACCATGCGTCCACTTGCAAAACGTGATCGCGAATACTACCCAACCGGGATGGTAAAGGGAGAACAGATATATACCTTCACCTCAATAGCAGAATACCTTGTGAAGTTAGGCCACTTAACTGCTTTTTAGCACTTGTAGCGCATTCGAAATCTTACTCATTAACCTTAGGGTTTCGCCTCACCTCTTCGTTGTCCAGCTGTACCGTTTGTCAGTTACCTTTATTATTAAATGTAAGTACATCCTATGTACTTGCTGAGTCGTCGGCTCACCTTTTTTCTTTTCCAGATTCTCGTGGCAACCACCAAACTAACACTGCTCTGCGCACCCCCTGCAACAACCTACCTATCTACAGGCTAGACGAAACCTTATTAACAACTGGTCATTACAAACTCATTGAAAATCTTCTACAGGGTTCGATCAAACCATTCAAAGGGAATAAGACCAATGCACTTTGGTGTAGGTGAACCACCAGCCATTCTGAAGTTCAAACCAGCGTTATGTGTCCAAAAGCGGCATATCCAACCTTTATCTTTGTCATAGACATCATAAGGTCTTGACTATCATAGACTTCTCCTGTGTCACATTTAATTTCATAATTCCTTGTTTTTCTTCCCACTCTAAACATAAATGCGTATTAATTAGTTTCCTTTAGTTATTCAATATATTTTGTACCCTGACCGAAAATAATTGTGGGACGTTCTACCCACTGTAATATACATTCACGATTGTACAGCTTATAAAATAAATTTGTCGAAAAGAAAATTTTTTTCTTCACTCCAACAGCGTTTTGTCTTTTCTCATGGTCAAATGTGTGTATTCCGTTGTTTAAGTAAATAAACTTGACGGGAAATGTACACTTGAAACAAAACCACTGGTTTAACATTCATATCCTCTATTGTTTACATTATACTACTGAATAGAAACAGCAGTAGTATCACCACCAATCATAAAAATCTATAAACCGCCAAGTTTGACTTGAAAGATTACACTGTCCTAATCGTTGGAAGGCTACTTCACTGATTTGTGGCTAGGCTGACTGACTGCAGGTTGAAGAAGTTTCAGTATAGAAAAACGAATTCATAAGATACATTTTGCGGAAAATCCACACCAGTTTATCTTTCTTTAGGATAGGAAAGTTAGAGTTTCTCAGAGGGTAAAAATAAACCAGTAAGATAAGATACTAAATGATGCACAACCTGAGAAAGAATAGGCATTTCCATGACGTGGAGACGTATACTACCCTTCAATATCTTACTCGTATAACTCCAAACAGGATTTTAAGAAGAATTGCACTGTCAAGGCTCACAATTTCATCCACTAAGACTAAAAGCCTACAGAAAGTAAATCGTTTTTTATGGTCTGAGATAGCAGCCATGGTTTGGCAGACTAGTATGTATACTGGGTGAGATGCAAATCACCCAGTATAAATACTGATCTTCAAAACTACGTCTATCTCAGATAGTCAAATGATAATCAGTATGATACTCCCCCTATTATTCTAAATCAGTTACATTTGGATTAGGATGAGAAGTCCTGATTAGGCAGCCAGTGTAAACATCATCAAGTGGTAGTAACGCATCGTGAATTCAGATGCCAGTCAGGCGAAACCCAGCCTTGTGATTGAAGCTAAATAAAATTCTGATCGGCAGTCGAACCTCGTAGCTCAGTTGGTAGAGTATCCGACCGGAAACCCAGTGGTCGCTGGTTCACGGTCCGGATTTCCATCCCACCTTCAATCATTACCCAGTATAAATAAGTGGTTGAAAATAGATGAAAAATGGCATGTTTTATGATTTTCTATACATGAGTTTGTAGAATCACTTAAGAAATGTTGTACCACGTCCATTTCCAACATTAAATTTGTTTGAACAGAGAAAGAACGATGGTTGGGGTAGAATAATACGGTACTATTTTACTCCGCCAGTTTCTCGTTAGCTGTTTACTTGTAGGGATGTGTTGATTTGAATATAGTTTTCACCACAGATTGGCATTAGTTGAGAATTACTGAAAAGCTAAGAGTACTAGACAAGTATTTCATCCTAGTTTGCGTCTCTTTAGTAGTTCGCACCCCCTACCTTGCACGTGAGGTAAACGCTTGACGATCACACTGAATGATAGTAGCACGATATCGTCAAATAACAGAGGTTGTAACAAGTGTACCATTAGTTTCTCACCAAGCCGCTAGAAGGCAATGTTCCCAAGACTAGACTTAATCCCTTGCGGGGTCATGGATGCCCACTTCCGAGAAGTCCCACACAAGAACGGAACATCAATCCAGTACTTCCATGTTTTCAATGGATGTCGAACTGATGTCAGTCCAAGAAATATACCGACTTGAAATTATAAAATCCCTACGAACCTTCAAATTAAATAATCGATCCTACGGAAGTTAGAAATGTTGGTCAATCTGCTGCTGCCTATGCAGTAAAGACACATAAATTCATTGAGGTCCAACCATGAGAAAGAATATCTGTTATCCTGCATTCTAACTGTTAAACACTAACATAGATTTGGCAGTAGGGGCTTTCTCAAAGCCATCAATTTGTTTGTGCATGCTGCAGATATTAAATCGAATTATATGAGTCTTTGAAAGCTAATTATAACACAGCTGCTGGACGCAGATTTATTCCCAGAAATATTCGTGCCCCATCAAACCCTAAACAATGGCTTATCAAACAGACGTTGCTACATGAAAGGACGACAGATGAACAAACTACATTTGAAACATACTACTGAATAAAATGAGTAGTTCAAACTGTCTGCAGAAATTAGTTATCACCAATAAACCGTTTCAGTGTTGTTTACGGAATTAGAATGGAATTTCCGTTGGTTTAGAATAGCAAAACTCTGTCTAATAAAGACACAGAAAGTGTTATCAAAGTTTGTAAAATGCGTTATGGCATAACAGAAGTAATTTGACACCGTGGTAAGCTTAGAAGGTAAACATTTACTAAACACAACTTTAAGTATCAGATGTTGTATAAACACTGAAAAAGATTTTTTTTCAAATAAAACAGACGAATTTTGTGCATTACATTGATTTTCCATCGGAGAGCAATCAACTTCATCTTGTCTAGTGTTGAGTGCTGACTAAATTCCATCGGTTGCTTTTTATAATTTGGCTACCAAACTAGAAGGCTCAGCATAGCAGTACACTTTTATAGATGTTAGGCAGTTGGTAGAATGTCCTGAACTTAGATTTCGTGCCTAGTGGCACTGGTTAGCAAGGCGTATGGGCAACCCCGAAGGGAACCGAGTTACCACTTGATAATCGAACCCGCGCCACTCAGTAGTACAGTCAGTCACCTTGTCAGCACTCAGGACTGGACAACATGAAGTGTGTCCAATCCAGTCCAACGGGAGGTTGGTCGTCGTTCAAACACCTTTGTTTTAACGTTACTGACTGCATCATCAGTTGATGCGGGTTTAAATCCCAGAGGGGATACTATTTGCTATAGGGTTGGAGATACACCTCACTGACGAACGCGAACAAGCACAAAACGTAGGCTAAGGAGGGCTTTCAGCCAATTGCCTCCCACCAAATAACATCCTTCAAAGTGCATATATCGTTTCTTTGACTAAAATTCCGTAAACACAGCGTCAGTGAACCGTTGTAACAATCCTCAGACGACATTAATTTAGAATTTTGCAGTAAATGATAGACAGCTTCCTACGGTATCCTTGTGATTAAACATCACTTGCATAATTCTAAGCACACTCGATATTGTTTGAAGGTTCATTATTTTGCAGCAAAGGTGGCAAAGAGGAAGATTTCACTGACTGCTAATGATAAACAAATCTAACCTTTTTATGTCATCCATCGTGAAGTAGGCGCTAGTGAACTTTTGTGCAGTACACTCATTCTTTGATAGGCAATAAGATATAATGTCACGACCATGAATGATAAAACTCTCTGAAGTCAGATAATTTCACAGGAATAACCCATTACTATATTTAGTTTGGTGATAATAAACTTGACCAAATGGCTTATTTCGAAGTTTCACAATCTTTGAAGATCTAACTGTTGACAATATCTCAGTGAGAGAAAAGAAGGTTCATTTGGCATATGTCGACATTGCTGAGATGACTTAATTCCTGGTGGAGTAGAAAGTTACCTCACAGTATTCATCCCTGTTCTACCTCCAGCTATGAGAAATAGTCGTTTAAAGTGAACTTCATGATCGTATTACAGGCTTTCAACCAATATCCGTCTTTGTAGCACTGTCCAGTTGTGGTGAAACCAAAGATCAATCAATATTCACACTAGAAAGACAAGGAACCTATGGTAAATACAGAACCACGATTCACCATTATGATTAAATTTCACTACAGGGGGAATAATTTTAAAATTTGTTTAGAATTCAAGCATGTCATGGATGCATTAACAAGTTGACAGAAGAAGCAGTGAAGACGAAACTTCAAGTGAACGTAGAGAAGACAGAGGTGATGAAGATATCCAACCAACAACAGCATCAACAACAAGCACCAATCACCATTAACGGGAGAAACATAAAGGAAGTAGCCTCTTTCACCTACACATACCTAGACGGCACCGTTTCAACTACAGACGGCACAGACGAGGATTTCAAAACCAGGATCGGAAAGATAGCAAGACAGGCTTTCACTAATCTGAAATCAGTATGGAGATTTACTGCACTCAGCACAAAGAACAAGATCCGAATTTTTAACACCAATATCAAGTCAGTACAGCTTTATGGTTGAGAAACTTGGTGTGTCACGAAAAGCATTTCTAACAAACTGCAGACATTCATCAATAGCTGCCTCACTCACTCGTTACTGAAGATCAGATGGCCAGAATAATAAGAATAAGCAACAAACTACCAAGAACCTACCACCCAACAAAAATGCAGAAGAAAGTGGAGATGGATTGGGTATACACTGAGAAGGTCGAGTGGGGACATCAAGCGCCATCCCAGGCCCTCGAGTGGAATTCAAATGGGAAAGGACGAGTTGGGCGTCCGAGGGTGACATGCAGGAGATCATGTGAGGAAGAAAGGAAAGCTTGTGGGCAGTCGTGGTGCCAGGTCCAAAAGATTGCAGAGAACACAGTGGAATGGAGGCGTGCTACTACTGAAGTCCTATGTTTCACTAGGAACCCAAGGGGAAAAATAAAATAAATAATTAATAAATGGATGCATTAAATTTTCGACTACTGAGAGCAGCCTGTATGTAGTCTTGTCTGACCTGGATTTCTTGTTTTTTTGGCAGTCTTCATTAACGGATGTCTATATTCTCGGGATAATTGATATCTCATGTGAGATTCAAGCTCACACCACCCAGTAATACAGTCAGTGACGTTATTCAAGCCACGCTATTGACCTCTTATCTCCAACTCCCAAATATATACACAAAGAATAATGAAATAGGCCCAATACTAACTTACATTTTCTATCATTTGAATCAATAAATTTGTTGAAGAATTTTCACTATAACTGTTTGAAATAAACTCATTTGAATTTTGTACGAATTTCTCATTATATTTATAAACCTGTTCATTGTTCAATAGTTGATCTATTTTTTTCATAGATTTTTGATATTGAAAATGTTTAAACATTAATTCTAAGTTAACTAATTTATAAAAATCATATTGTGGAAATTGTTTAATAAATTGAAATTCATTATTTTGTTTTTTAGTAGTAAGTACAGGCTTGCGTAAACGTATTAATCGGTCATTTTTCCAATAACCAACATCGATTTGTAGAGGTGTTGATTTTGTTGCATTTGTAAGAAGAATACCAGGACCGTAACGTTGATCTTCTGAGAAAAATCCCTGTATAGACAATGAATATAATGATAAACACATTATTCTGATAAGATATCATATAAATAGGTTGAGAAGAAATTCCTGTTTAACATTCTTAAACAGCTAATTTGCTTCCCTTCAACAAATCCTTACTGAAGAGTCATTTTAAGCTGACTAGTATCACGGAGTTAGAGACCGGCGAAGTCTGGATGTGTAGGCAGTATGTCAACCGTAGAATGTGGACATTTGGTCACTAGTTACACTAAATAGTAATTGGGAATTGAATGAAGTTCGAAGTAGTTAAAGATTACACATTGCTTCATTAGTTTTATGACAAGGATTTAGCCCTCAGAATTTAAAACAATTGGGTTCAAACTTGGAACGATACGTAGATGAGTATTCATGAAGTATTCTCAATAAGGATAGAAAATTATTCCACCAACACTCTTCTGTTTTAACCCACCTTCAAGCAGGTTACCTTCGCGATAAAAGACATTTCCATGTTTTGAGACTGATCCATAACTATTATGTAGCTGATGATGGTACTTACTACCTAGCACTTGGGTTCATTAGAAGGACTCAGACGAAAGAAGCGAGTTTAGTGTCTTTATGATACACCCAGGAGTTAACTGATAGGATGATTTACTTCACTCATGTTTCGTGTTTACTAGCGTATCTTTAAGTATGGAGAAACCTATATTACCTGGGAGAATCGAACCCGCATTCATATCTACGTACAGACTCCATTCAATCTAAGTTGAACTGGCTGACTGTTAGCTAGATTTACACTGTCACTTTTGTTACTCAACTGAAAGAAGCACAACCCACAACAAACTTTTACTCAGTCTTCAACGGGAAAAATCTAAGGAAGTTGTCTCTTTCACCTACCACCTAGGCAACATCATTTCAACTACAGACGATGGCACAGACGGTGAGGTCAAATCCAGGATCAGAACGGCAGCAACACAGGCCTTTTGCATTAATCTGAAATCAGTATTGAGATCTGCACTGCACTCAGTATAAAGCGTAAACAACATCCGGATTTTCAATTCTAATGTCAGCCAAATCAGTGCTTCTATGTGATAGTTGAGAGACTTGGCACTTCACGAAAAGCATTTCCAACAAACTGAAGACATACATAATATCAATATCTGCCGCTTATGCTTACTCAGTACCGAATATCAGATGATCAGAATAATAAGAATAAGCAAGCAGGAACTCTGTCTGGCAACAAACCAATCAAAAAACAACATATCGCCCAACAAATATGCAGAAGAAAGCGGAGATGAATTCGATTGGATTGGACATACACTGAGAAGACGATTTGGGGACATAACACGTCAGGCGAGGCCGTTGGGTGGAACCCATATCCAAGGGTGACATGGAGGAGATTGTGTGAGGAAGAAACGAAAGCTTATGCGGAGTCGTGGATCCAGGTTCAAAAGACTGTGGAGAACAGAATGAAATGGTGACGTGTTAGTGAAGCCGTATGTTCCACTGGGAACCCAAAGGATAAATAACAATACTCATAATAATAATGATAATAATAATATCATGCACATTTCTTATTGCCGTTTCATATTAGCTGTTGTTACCGTGTTCGTTGTATTAACTTTTCTTGCCATTTCTTGAATGCATTTTACACTCTTCAGTTTGTTACGCATGTCTCACACATTTCCTTGGACGAAGTTTGATCTTTGTTCCTTCAGTCGACTCTGAATTTTCGCTCACCTTTCCTGTTCAACTGCGGTTTGACACAACCTTCCACTGAACGCTACCTTTGACAGTGTAATACACATTCAGCCACTTCACGATCCTCAGTGTACCACATTCTATGTTGCAATCACTTGGTAAATGCTGTTTTTGTGCTGCAGCACAAATCAATATGATATTGTTAGTCAAGTACTCTAGTTCAAATTGGCCAATAAACATAAAATACAGGAATCATTGGTTGAGTACTCTTAGTGAAATAGTGAAAAATCGGTCAAAATGGTGCCCAAGTATTCTCTGATTCAAGTTTTCTAAGCTTGAATGATTTCACTAACCTTAAGTTTTGCATTCCATCTCTTCCCATACACCTTTTTCTTATTGGATATCAGTCTTTCCTATCCAATTGTTCCTTGTATGCTATTGTGAAATGTTGCTGTTTGAACTGATTCACTTCTGTGCGAGGTTATCCTATCATTCTGTCAATCTCAGTCTAGCTCAGTTTAAAATATCTCACTTATGTTGTGTGTGTAACTTCGAAGGTCATCCTACCAAATAAACTTGTTGTCATCGAAATAATCAGATCAGTTTGTTAAACAGAAATCACAACATTTCACTATCAGGTTTTCACCTGTTTGGAAACATCTAAATTTTCAATTTTTTCCGTGACTATTTCCACTTTAGTGTGTATAATTGGAAGCTGGATAGTCAAAGATTTAGGCTGGATAATTCTTTCAAAATATTCATTTATTTTTGAGGATAATTACAGATACTTTGAGTTGTGGCCAATGCTCCCTGCCTTCAAATCATCTTACACTGTTTTCTGTATTAAAGTGGTCTAGTTGAAACTTGTGACAAATCTCACAGAAAAATAAGTTTCAGTATCACTTATTCTTTCAAGATATGAGGGAATTCTTATAGAAGGTACTGATACAACAGAAATATAATGGGCTTACTTTGAGTTACACGACTTTTCATCTCTTATCACACTAATGTTCAGTTTGTATTAGCATTGAATACTTGTCAAGAATCCCCCAGTAGTTAAGAACCAATGGTTAGAGATTCTAGTACTGTGCTTCAAAATCATTCACCACGGAACGGATGGAGAAATTCTTCATTATCTCTTCTCCTAAACTTTTGCCTACTTCATTATCATTCTTTTCCTATCCCCTACTACACAACTTCTGTATTGACGTCGCTTTATGAACATATGAGGAATGTTGTGCATCAGATTGATTTGCATCCATGTTAGCTTCTGTCTTCTACGATAGAACCCAGTGAGTTTTTTTCAAAATCAAATGGACAAAGCAACAGGAAACTATCAAAATGTCAATTTGAACAAACCAACATACCTAGCAAAAATTACAATTACTTCTTATTGTCCTTTCAGCTAGACTATAGGTATTTCAACAGAACCAAAAGGATATCATATTATAGAATTTGTTGTTTGTAACGTTGAATGAACGAGAAAAGTTACTTCGTTCTTCAAACTAATCTATTAATCAGTTATAGGTATCATGCATTGCACTGATTTGAGAAACTGATGATAGATTATTGTTGTTCCACACTCTGATCTCCCATTATATGTGGTACTTGCGATACAGATAAATGTCTAACCTAGTTGTACACCAAGAGGCCTAAGGTGGACACAGGACGTGACAACATGAAGTGCGGAAAAGAGAGGAAACAGAAGGGTACTAAAATCGATAAAAATAAGTAAGAATGAAGAGAATAGACATAAGTAGGTTAGTTAAATGATTAGAAATTTCGAAGGCGATAGCGAAAGAACACATCCTCAGAAAATGACCTTAGCCAGAAGGCAGGGTTTACAGATTGACTAGTAGATAACTTGAACCTGAGGATTTGATTCAACAGATATGGTGGTACAAAAGGTTTAACTGACATGACCTAATCCACATAAACATTTACTGACCAGCTTTCATAGTTCAAATAGTTAGTGAAATGAATCCAACTGGAAACCAAGATATTCTCATAAAAAATTTGGTCATTATCTTCGTAAGTATTTTTTAATAACAAGATAAAATAAAAGGCAAACTACTAAATGCAGTCAAACAATTCTCTGACTAACCTCATAAATTGAATCATCAGAATACCGCATAATTCCATATCCTGACCTTTTATCTAGATAAAATGTACCCAGATAATTTGATCCATTAGGCCAGACATAAAATCCGCAACCATGTTTTTTGTCATTAAAAAATGTTCCAAAATATTTCTGAAAAGTAAAAAATATACATTTACGGTATTTGAATACTACTGAATTTAATTTCAGTAATACTTACTCGTAAAATACAAATAATTTTATTCTGTTTGGTAATGTTCATAGTGTTTTTATTCCAGTGTTATCTGTAGTGAATAAACCCATAGAGTACCACACCTACTTGAAGTGTTCAATATCAGGGTCTTGTAAAAGAAAAGGTTGTATTATAGGAAATGAGAAGACTGAGATACAAGAAGGAATGTTTACTACTGACATCTTGTACAGTAGTCTTCAAATATCGTAACCTTTCCACTAAAACAGTCATTTGCACAGTGTAATTCATTTCCTCTTCTGCTTCTATCTTCATTTACTCTTAATATGTCCACATTTTCCACTGCGTCTCTCTGGGCAGAATATTTACCGATCGCTGGTAATTGTCTATGATTTCTGCCGCCCTCTCAACATATACTACTTATGTCCATTCTGATCAGTAGCACCCACTACACTATGTCTTTACTCAAGGGCGATTTAACTATGGAATCAAGAATGTGCACTTCATCCGTCCTAAAACTGGTTACTTATATTTACAAACATTCCAATCAGTGACGTAATTACCCCCGAGGTTGGGATTCCGTACTATTCTATTCAAAATTAAGAGTAGTGCGCAGTCACCTACTGGAATTTAGTGTCAGTCGTTACTAAGCCATTGAACATGAACTCGGGAACCCACACTCAAAGAGTTTGTATGCTAGTAGAAACTCATAAATTCAGTTTGTCATTTTGACTATCTGAGACAGCCGTGATTTAGCAGTCCAATACTATTACTGGATGATGATTGAAGGTAAAGTGAGAACTTTGGCAGCGGCAGGATTCGAACTAGCGACCATTGGCTTTTCAGCCCAGTGTTCTAACAACTGAGATACGAGATACGACTGTTAATCAGATTTTCATTTTACTTCAGTCATCAAGCGTTTTGCCCGTGTGAATTCGTGATACGTCACTGCCGCCTGATCGTATCGACACTGGCTGCCCAGTCAAGACTTCTCATCCTATTCCAAATCTACTTTGAGTTAGAGAGGATTAGTATCATATTAGTAAGATACAATAAACAACAGCAAATTTCAAATACTAATATATAGAAAATAATTTACTCCATATAAATTTTTTTGTTAGAGATGAAGAGAAATAAATATTTATTATACTATGTAACCCACTTCTCCGTTGTCCCACTGATAAAATCCCCAGGCATTACGTTTTCGATCAAAGAAATTCCCGTGAAATGAATCTCCATTTGGCCATTCTCTTACTTCATTGTAAGATTTTTTGTCTGCTGACAGTAAACTGGTATCTAAGTCAACATTTGTATCATCTTCAAAATAGGCATTGACATGGTTGTTGAATGAATAGTCAGAGGTTTCCAGTGAAATATTCCGACACCCATCATTCTCATACGAGGTTGCACCAATATGAAATATGTTACGGTCTATGTAAACAGCCATTTACACGGCAACCAAGACTTTCTAAGTGGTTGCGTGACTGTATTGTCATACACGTTAACGAAGGTTTAAACGGATAGCAATTCACCTGCTAAATATTATTCGGCATAGAGGTTAACTGTGGGAAAAAGTAACCAGTAAAGACATTAATGGAAGCATGACTTGTAGTTAAGCTAAGTAACAGACAGACAAGAACAAAATCAACATAGGACCTCACATATGAATGCATCGATTCAGGTTGCTATACTTCAGAGTAGTACACAAACCACAACCGGGTAGGAAAAGACTGACATCAAAGTAGACAAAGGTGTATCGAAGGAGAAGAAATTTAGAAATGAAAGCCATTGGAAACATCAAAACTTTAGAAGACATGAAGGGGGTGAATATGTCTGCACCACTGTGGTGTATTTTCAGCTAACTACCGATTCCTGTCGTCTTGGACACTCCAGCCAGGTAGCTAACATCTCCCTACAACAGCTGCAGACTTCAACGGCTGGTGCCACATCTTCGTCTGACCACTGTAAACCCTCTTCCAACCTAATCCAAAATCCATAAACATTGCAAGTTGGGGTAGGTGGTGGTTCATCATGCGCAGTTCATGTTTAAACCTAACTCCAGTCGATGAAAATTTACAGCCTCATTGACTGACTTACCTTTCTTGCCTAGTATCCTTCTTTTGTTTTGGTTGAGCAAAGTGGAATAAACAATGTTGTATGTAAACTTGTGAAAATGCTCGGCATGAATTTAATCAATAAAGATGAATTTAATTTTCTAAAATTATGGGATCTGAACATCCACATCTATATGACTCACCTGAAACTCATAAACCTGACAATCCGCTACACTAAATTTTGTCTATTTCTCGATCACCCACACATAATCTAGCTAAATGGTTGAAAAAGCTCTTCAGTCCCGACAGAAGCCATTTATGTGAGTCCTCACTGAAAGATACATTTCACCTTATTGACTGTTTAAATGATAGTAATATCAAAGATAAGATGATATACTCGTTCGATGTAAATTCTTTATTTACTCATGTGCCACTGATAAAAAAAATTGGTATTTTATGTGACTATATTTCTTCTAACAGTCTTATATTCCCTATCCCTATTAATTTTTTAAAAGTTTATTATTATTATCCACTGATAAGTTGAATTCACATTCGATGGTGAACACTTTCAACAGATTGATGATGTCGCGATAAGCAGTTCATTAGGACCGTTACTATCTGGTGTATATATGTCATATATTGAAAACATGGCTGACCATCTCATCAGAAGAGTTTTTCATCTTATAAGAGATTTGTCTATGATATAGTCATTACATGGGAAAAGCCTGATGACACGATGTGCCTGCTAGAGAAGATGAACACGGCTCAAAATCACATTAGCCTGACTTGTGAACAACAGACGAACAACCATCTACTGTTCCTAGACATATTGTTCAGTCAACGGGAGGATGGCTAGATTAGGAGGTCGATCTATAGGAAACCTAAGTGGACAGGCCAATATCTTAACTTCCATAGCTATTGCCCAGTCCAATATAAACGTGGTTTAGTTAGATGCTTACTCAACAGGAGAAGTTGCATCTGCACCGACGACACCAGGGAGGAAGAAACCAACTTACTGACGACAACACTTACACAGAATAGCTACCTGTTGAAATTTATCGACAGGTATGTACCATTGAAAAGTACACGGTGTTCCCTTGCTAAGAAAAATGTTTTCGTCTCACTACCATTTAGAGGTGATTCACTCAGCTTTGTTGTGAGGAAAAGACTTAGGTCAGACATTCGTAAAACTTATTATGCAGCCAAGGTCATCATTGTAGAGAAGACTGAGTCCATGTTACAGCACAAACCAAAACAACATATACTCGACTACATCACATCCCACTATGTTAGTCAATTTACATGTATGTGTGGTCACACATACATAGGGAGGAGTAATCGTGATATGCAGTTAAGGAAGGTTCAACATGTACCTGAGTGGCTTCAAAAACAAATGACCTCAACAGATCCGATAAGTGCAGGTGACAAACACCCATCTTCGTCTGTCGCTAAACACATACTAGAAACCAACCATAGGATAGACATGAAAACAGCCTTTAAAGTACTACATAGAAGTGGTTAGAGCCGAGTGCTTAAATTTGTTGAAGCTCTTGCCATCCGTAAATTCAAACCCCTGCTTTATGTATACAAAAACAATTAGTACCCACATGGAACCTACCTTGGTAGTATTGATTTTAATTTTCATACCAAGAGTAACTTGACTAGGGTTTTTTTTCTTTTTCTCTCCCTTCCTATTCCTATGTTTCCCATTAATTTCATTGACATTTTCGTCAATTTTCATGTGAATAGTTCGACAAGTTCATGTGTGATCAGATTGTTTGAAATGTATAGTGCTAATACATCACATATTTCAGATAACCTTCTTCTTCTCATTATGCAGTTTAAATTTATCAAAGGGACCAGCTGCTTTAAATTTTATTTGTCTATTCTCACCTACTCATCAAACGTTTATCATAATTTAAAGAAAGAATTCAAAAACGAGGTAGACTATACAAAGCTTTTTGAAAGTACTGAACGCATTGGATTACGTCCTTATCAGAATCACCACAGCTATTGAAAGATATGATTGAAAAGCTTTTATAATTTCCCGGTCTTTACTACTTAATCTGTAGTTTGGAAATCAAGATCTTTCCTGCCCAATTCATTTCTAACACTTTTATCTAGTGGTACTGATATAATAGGTGTTTAATTGCAATGAGGCATTCACACATACATACAATCTGTTCAGTGTTGGCTGATAGGTCGTTTATCTCAGCTGTTGTAGTTTACGCTATAAAAGGTATTCAACTTATTTTTATTTTCAGCTATCATGTGGTACACCAGGGTGAGGGTACTCATGTATTTGCATCACAGTACCAAACTGTAGAGCATTCTGATTTTCAGTAGCTTAAGCAATTGTTCGGTCCTCTGGAAAACCAATGTATAATTATCCGTTTAAATAATAGGGTGTCTAGTGCTCTAATCCTCATGTTGTAAAATTGTGATGTCGTTAGTACTTGTCTGGCCTATTTATGAAAAATATACTTGCCCAGGTATTCAGTTTGACTTTCTAAAATACCTGTTATGCACCTTCCTGGCACCAAAATACAACTAGGCCTAAAATAAATAGGTTAAATTAAACTAACTAAATGAACCTCCAGCTCGCCTGCGGATGGTTTAGGTGTTTTAAGTTTTGTTTTAACGAGCGTGTATCCAAGCAGGCTTCCGTGACATTTTGCGCTCTTTTTGAGCTGGTTAGCACGCACGTACTCAGAGTCCCTAGTTCAGCCGTACTAGCCAGGTAAGTTGAAAAAACTTTTCCCATATTCATTACTATTACATTTATTCCAGATAAATATATTACTTCTTCGAATATATTCCTGAAACCAGTCCTTTTGATTTGTTTTTCATTTTCGGTACTTAAACGTTAGGTAAGGTACTGGTTAAGCAGGCACTAGAGCAGATCAAGTTAAGTAGGGTCGGGTCAAACGTTATGGAATAGTAACACATGTCCCTAGAGACCCGTGGTTTGGCAGATTTGATTAGCGTTCGTGGGTCACGGCTCAGTTGGTAGAGCATCGAGTCGGAAGCGTGTAAACTGTTGATTAGAATCCTGATAGGACCCAGACTTTTATTTCACCTTCAATAATCACCGAGTTTAAATTTCCACAGTAGTCTTAAGTCCGACGTTCCTAGATTTCACCGACGGTTATACAAGTACTTATTCTGGTCAATCTTAAATAGCCTGAAAAGAGCACTTTATGTGTAATAAATTCTACCTAACCGGAATTTCTGCATAAAAACTGTTGTAAATATATTTAATATGATGGTGGTAGATTTCCTGTGTGCCATTTCAGATTTCGGTCTTTTGTACCTTGACGACGGACTAGTATGCGACCTGAATGGACATGTGCCATTTTGGATATCTTATCATTAATTATTCACAATAAATTAGACGAACGTCTTTACAAGTACACAGGATAGAAATTCTAATTTGTTAACAGCCTAGGATGCATGATCAAATCAACCAGCAATCATTATCTCAAGGCTAAAGTAATCACAGATGCCTCAAACTAAAGCTTTTATCCAAGGAAGCTGCTCAACGGTACGTTGAAAATCTTACTTTCTCAACGGAGACCACTGGTATGGTATCAGGGAACGCTGTAATGGCTCACCCACAGTTGTGATCAATAACTTTTAAAAAAATTGATAAACAGGGTACGGCTATACATCTTATAGACCTGATAATGTAAATCGTAACTAGGGGAAAATCAGGCTTCATGACGGAAATAGCAGGGGAATAAGCGTAAGTGTTGGGGCTCAAAGCGACAGGACGTGGGCTGATTAGCAGCAGTAATAAGTGGCAGTTTTTATTTGATCTTGTGAGCGAGATTGAATTCATGGTTAGGGTTTAAATCCTAAGTTGGTTAACTCAAGTAAAACTTCAATTATGATAATTTGCGTGTTGTTTTAAGATGTATATCAATTCTTACCTAACAAATCGAAGAAGTTGCACGCGAAATTGATGGCAGTATCTGTTAAGATTTTCATCGACTTATTAATGAACATAAAGCAAAATAAAATGTGTAACGGTACGTCAGACCTTTTAAATATCTGCCATATGTTGTTATGACTGTGAAGGTCTACAACATATTCAATAGCCTTCAATCTTCAATTGTAAGAACAGTAGACCAAACTGTCTGTATTGATCCTGGCAATGTAAGTCCATGTGAACACTCGCTTGGCCCTTGAAGGCGTCCACCGAAAAGTCTTCTACCACAAACTCTAGTAATAGGATCCAGTCATTTTGTCAAAGGTTCAGTGGCACGTTGCCATTTCAGTTTGTTCTCTATGGTCTTTCCGGCCTGGCTCTGCCACTGCCCACAAGCTCTCATTTCTTCCTAACAGAATCTCCTCCATGTCACCCTTGGTCGCCGATTTGGGTTCCGTTCGATGATCTAACCTGGCCTGAAGAGTGATGTTCCCAGATAGTCTTCTCAGTGTATGCCCAATCCATCTCAACTCGCTACCACATATTTGTTGGGCGGTGGGTACTTGCTTTGTCAGTTCCTTGCCATCTAGTGTTCCTTGTTGCTTATTCTTATTATTCTGGCCATCTGATCTTCAGTGTCGAGTGAGCGTAGGCAGCCGCAACTTTTGATGAATGTCTGTAGTTTGTTGGAAATGCCTTTCGTAACATACCAAGTCTCTGAACCATATAGAAGCACTAACTTAGCTGAATAGTGTTGAAAATCTGGACTTTGTTCACGCTATATGCTAAGTGAAGTGAAGTGAAGTAGATCTCCACACTGATTTCAGATCAATGAAGGCCTGTCTTGCTGCCACTCCGATCCTGGATTTGACATCGTCGTCTGTGCCGCCGTCTGTAGTTGAAATCATGTTTCCTAGGTGGTAGGTGAGAGAGACAACTTTCTTTAGGTTTCTCCCGTTGATGTTGACTGGTGCTTGCTGTTGATGTTGTTGGTAGGGTATCTTCATCACCTCTGTCTTCTGTGCATTCGAATATGTCCTACTCTAAAATTAGTAATTTAACATGAGAAAATCCAGTTTACAGCATCAACACATTGCTATATATCGAAAAATCTACGAATATCACTTTCCAGTGTATGCAGAGTGTTAAAGTTTAGATAATAATAGATATCATCCTCATATAAGGGGTTTAACATGAGGGATACTAGTTCACAAGTATCGTCAAACTGATAATTCATGGAAGTTTACAAAACGGTATTCAGTATTAAATAACTGACATATCGAGCCATTGGTACATACAATCTTATTAAAGGCTGCTGAAATTTATGAGGCAGGAATGGATCTTCATCTCCCACTACACAGACAGGTTCCACTATTAATGACAAAAGTGCGCAATGTTCGTCATTTGCGTTGTAACCAACCGACGTGGTATGTCCACTCACGTAGTTTATTATTTAGTAATATAACAGTCTGTTCCTTGGAAAGTTCCCCAGTTTTTAGCTTGAGATAGTGACGAAAAGTCTATGAAGGAATGTACTCATGAATTGTTTGCATGGGTAAATTGGTCTCTGGTTTAATCATCTGTTCAGAGTGTCTCTGCCACTAATATCGTCGGGAAAGTTTAGTCGGTTCATAGTAAAAAAAAATCGAGGCCAGTAGGTGAGTTAATTGTGAAGATGGTCCAGAATTTGCGAATGAGTGGGGGCAGTCCAATAATTATTGGCGTCTATGAGCAGGTATTATTCCAACCAAGTAATTGTGTTCACGGAGCTGTTGCTGCAAATAGGAAAAGAAAGAAAAAGCACGGGCAGATACTGAAACGGATACTACTGCGCAGTCCGGCTTGGAAGAAAGCGAAGTTCCTATACTTTTAGACCTACTTGAACTTTATGTACACCTCCAGGCATGTATGTTTGATTAACTGCGTAGTCTTTCCACTACAAATTTCTTAACTTTTTCTATAAGTTGGTCGTATCGTGGTGGCTTTGAGAGGAAAACGGTATTCTTTATGTTCGTTATACGAAGCGGAACAGGGACTCACACCTCTGTAGGCAATCCTAAACCCATCACGGTAGGAGGAAATCGAAGGCTTTAATAACTCTGATCCATGCGTTTGGAGGTCGAGTTATCCAATATCCAACCTCTTTTCTAACATCCAATATCTTTTTTAATGAGCTTGTGTAAACCAACTGATTTCTTCTCGCTCGCTTCTTGTTCTTGCGGAACGGCTCCAGATCTTTGGCGGATTCCGATGCAGTAGGTCCAGCCACTCGTCTGCTATGGCTCTGATTTACAGAACAGGGAGTTAAGTGTTGGTTTGTTTGCCTTGGACTGTGGTGCAGTTGGCTTCTTCAGATGTCGAGTTGCCAGGCCGTTGTTAGGACTGGTCGCTACAGACGGTTGGGGATAGTGAAGAGAAAACCTGGAAGGTGTTTGTGTGAGTAAAAGAAGAGAGGAAAGGTGAACTAATGGAGTAATCTGCTTACACCCAAGTAAGGTGAGTAGGGGTGCAAAGACATGAAGAAATTTAGTAAGTGAGGCTAACTTATGGCAAGTGGAAGGGGTGAAAAGGGCTTAAGTGGTTACAATAGAAAGAAAACTGGTTGGGGTGGCTTGACATCACTTCGTATTCCAGCTATGTGTGGGTAGACCGTGAGTCTCTGCATGACTGTCTGGCTTCTTCTTGAAGCTTTCAACGATTGGGGTTTGGACCACCTCTGCTGGTGGTGTGTTCCAGTACCCACAGACTCGGAGGGAGAAGAACTGTGAACGCACATGCGTTTTTGACCTCTGGTGTGCTATTCTATTGGGGTTTTCTCGAGGATCTCCGTAGTGGCCATTCGGTAGGACTCCTCTGTTTAGGTGACTTCGGTTGCTCATTATTTTGTAAGACATTATTAAGTCGCCACGTATCCTTCGATAGCTAAGGGAGTATAGACTTAGGTCTTTGAGTCTGTACCCATATGTTTTTCGTTGCATTCCAACAACCCCTTTTGTGGCTCGCCTCTGAACTTTCTCTAGTAAGTTCGACCCTCTTTTCAGCTGTGGTGGAGCGAAGACGTTATGGACCTCTAAGCGGGGCCGTATGTAAGTCTTGTAGAGCTTCAGAAAGAGTTCTGGGGTGAGGGCACCCAGCTGTCTACGCACAAAGTGTAGTACCCCATATGCTTTTGAGACACCACCTGGGTAATTGCAACTGGTGCCCAGTTTCTCCGTCACTGTTAGACCCAGGTCTTTTTCCACTGTGGTATGGGATAGACGTGAACAACACAGATAGTAGGATGTTTTCTGGGGATCAGGAGTGCGGAAAAACATGGACCGGCACTTATCCAGATTAAATGCCAGTTCGTTATTAGTTCCCCATTCCTCTAGTGTTCTAAGGTCCTTCTGTAATGCCATAGATTCCGTCTCGCAAGTTATTACCCTCCATAACTTGACATCATCAACGTATATGAGAATCGGGGGTTTGATATGTTGCGGCAAGTCATTTGCGAACAGTAGGAACAACAGTGGGCCCAAGATAGCTTCTTGTGGGGCACCGGATCAGGATGTTCTCCAAGTTGAGTAGACCCTGTTGACTTTCGTGTAGAACTCCCTGTTGTCTAAGTAGTTCTGCAGCCACGATAGCACCCGGCTATCTAGTGTATTAGGATATGGTGTGAGACGGTGTCAAAGGCTTCGGTGGGAACAACAACGCGAGTTATCTGTATTTCGTGTAACTCAGTAGCACCTGGTAACGTTGGGGCTGTTCGTGCAGTTGGTATACGCACTTTCTTGATGGAATGTTGGGCTGTGTCAAATGTGGTGCTCAGCATTTCAGTTATCTCCTGTCCAGAGAGGTTTACCCCGTTCGGACCTTTTATGACACATGCTCCTTAGCTTGTCGATTTTCTTTTTGCCATGAATCGGTAAAGGCTTTTAGGGTTTACCTCAAGCCTTTCGGCTAGGTTGGACTGGAACGACCTCCTGACTCCCAGCACCCTTATATGGCTTCGATTCCGTTAAGTTGTGTATGCGTCATGGTGTCCTGCTCTCTGGAGAGTCTCCATGTGTGCCATGCCCTTCTCTTGGCCTTTAGAAGGCGCTCACTGCCCCGTTTTAGCCATGACGTTCCCTTTCTGGTTGTTGTTACCGCCAAAGGGACGTTTTGTGAGACGGCCGTCTTGATGATATCTTTTACCAGTTCCCAGTGCTGGTCGATCGATAAGGAACACCAATCCACTGGCCACGAAGCTGCTGGAAGGCTCTTGTTCATACCTTCGTAATTTGCCTGTTGTAACATAGGTAAGGGCGAGGTCCCTCCCATGATAGCTTTTCACTAATTACCAGGTCGAACATTACCGTAGCGTGATCACCACTTCCAAGAGGGGTTTGCACCTGAAAGTTTTCAACCAGAAGGGGATCACTAGTCAGTAGGTAATCCAGTTTAGATGGTTACCATCTGGCCCCCAGCGGGTGTTGTCGCTGATTTTTTCCTGCAGTCCAGCCACTTGGATGGCGTTTAGCAGGTTGCAGTCGAACTTCCAGCTCGGTTGGTGCCACCTTGCTCCGGGCTGAGGGTTGGAACGTTGAAGTCGCCAGCCGTTAAAATCTGGTAGTGCCCTATAGTTGACACTATGGATATTGCTTGGAGTAGTTTTTGGTTGTATTCCAAGTTGCTATTAGGGGACCTATAGATTCCTCCAACTAGGAATTTGGTGTTTGACCGTGAAGTGGTACCAGATAGAGTCTGGGAGCTCTGTCAGTGCCGTGTCAGTGGTTCGTTCACTTCTGAACCACTTGTTCACGTATATTGCAACCCCCCTCCATCCCGATGTTCTCTGTCTCTCCTGAACAGAATCATGTCTTCTATGTAAACTTCGGTGTCGATTATGTCTGGTGACAACCACGTTTCTGTCAGGACCATGATTTTCGGGGCGAGGTAGAGACAGGGGATCGGAGCTCTGGCATTTTACTTCGGAGTCCTCTCACGTTGCTGTAGAGACACTTGGAGGTGTTTCTCATAACGTGAGATGTGTCTGAGTTAACTAGTGGCACTGGTTTGAATGTAGGGGTTTCTACTGACTAACCAGTTCCAGTGGAACCGTTCGTTATACGTTATACGAAAGGGGACAGGGACTCACACCCCCGTACGCAATCT